CCTCCACTTCAGAGCCTACGGTTGAAGTTGACGCTCACCCACTCCGACACCAGTCTCGTCTGATGTACTCCTTCCTCTCATCATCTTGCAGTGGTCAAATCCAATCCCTCGAGGCTTGTCTCGCCTCTGCTGTTCTCGCAGCAGCGTTTCCGCGTCACTCCATCCGGGATAGCCCAAGGGGAAGAGGCATTCTGTCTAGTTAACTTGATGGCGGTCGCGGAGTTTTTGGAGAATGTAGACCTTGAGGCTTGGGTCTTGGAGACAGCGGTATTAGGTTCGTGTTGCCATTTCCCTTTTCCGGACGAAATATCGAGATTGGCTGACCTGGGCCAGTGTTTGCGGATCTGACACCCATCCCATCGCGCGCAACAGTCCAAAGCGCCTTCACTTCTCTGGGAGATGACAACACGAATGTCTTGCGAAGACAGTCGACACTCTCACGAGGGGGCTGGTCGATGCTCACCGGTGTAACTGGTGTCGTCGACTCGTCGTTTGGAATGCTCAAGCAACTATTGCCGAATGTACCGACCCCGTTGGGTACTCCAGCACTGGACAACACCTCAAGCGCTGCTCCGTGGAATCTGCCGCACGCCGTGGCTCGCCCTGGCTTTGGACTGCTGCGTCGGGAGACTGGATTCTCGATTGGCGGTATTAGCATCGGCGGTCGGTCAGTCGAAAAGCGCGAGGAAGAGTGAAGGATGTGTCTCGGCCCGCGTTTACGGGGCGATGCCCATTCCGACGAAGATCTGACGAAGAGGACGAGGACGAGGACGAGGATGAGGCCTTTGACGGACCCAGTTCTTATGACACCCGTAGCATCCGAAGTTTCGAGAGTATGATGAGCAGGGAGAAGAGAAAGCTGCACGGAAGCCGAGGAAAAGTCTGTCAGATCGTTTGGCTCATGTTTCGGCGGGGCTGGCCGGATTCAAGGTGTGTTATGCATCTTACTGGTGCCGTCGGATTCCCTGCTGATGGTGCTGCTTAGGGCTCTCCGAGCCGATTCGATAGCTCACGACCTCGACTCGCCAGCCGTTCGGGCAGGAGAACTGCTTGCAGGGCACCGCCCAATCCGCGCTTTTCTGGACTGTGCTCCGGACGACCTCAAACTCGCCGAAGTTGCCGAGTTGTTGCGGGACTATCGTCGTTAGTGGATGGGATTAGGGCTGTAGGTGGCTTTGTTGGTGAAGATTAGGCTTTCGTTTCTTTGCTTCCATCAATCTCGCGTGTTTCTTTAGTACGAGTGAACGTACCGCGTGCATCACCAAAACGCGCTACTAATGTACGCTCTGTGATTGGATAGAGATCACATGATCGCTCGTCCAAACGGAGGGCCTCCGATTGGCTCCCACATCGAATATTACTCCTTAAAACGACAGTAAGCAGAAAGCACACTTCCTTCTTACACCATGTCGTCGTCGTCGTCCTCGCCTGCCGCCGCTATCGCACTCCCCCGCCCTGCTACTACCGATGAATCGGCACGTAAACCGCCTGTCTGGTCCATTGATCAAACCGCCACTCCGTCACAAGAGGTCCCGCCAACTGCTCTCTGCGCGCGACACAATCGGCCCGATGGCGTCTGCTGCAAAGAATTGAAAGGAGACGATCGTACTCTCATCAACCCAGAGATTGTCCGCGACATGTACGCGTTTTTGGCCCAGAAGTCTGTATGTATTGCCTAACACTCCACACAGCGTCATCGGTCTCTCAGATGGTCTCACTGTCCCCTTCGCCCTCACAGCGGGCCTTTCTTCACTGGGCGAGTCGCGCTTAGTCGTACTCGGCGGTGTCGCCGAACTCATCGCTGGTGCCATCTCCATGGGCATCGGCGTTTCCTTGCATCGCAAGCCGAACGCGACCACTACCGCTTCCAGCGCACCTCGACCGCGGCCCGCGTAGTCCGCTCCTGCGACGGAGAGATGGAGCGCGAGGTGTCTGATGTGCTTGGGCCCATCGGCGTCGATGCGAAGACCTGCCGCGCCGTCGCAAGATGCCTCCGGGACGCGGAACTGCCGGCCAGTTCGAACAACAGCGTGCAAGCACACGACCTCGAGTCGAACGACTCTCTGCGATGGTCGAAGGAAGTTGGATTGACGCCCTTCTTGCTCAAGTTTGGAGAGGGTCTCGAGGAGGTGCCGACTTCTCGGCTATACTCGTCTGCGGCTACCATTGGTGCCGGCTACCTCATCGGCGGCATCATCCCCCTCATCCCGTACTTCTTCATCCCACGGGCCAGCATCGCTCTCATGTGGTGCCATCATCACTGGTCTCGTCTTGCTGGTATTTGGCGCCGTGAAGGCCCACATCACGGGTGCAGGGACAGGTGCCAAAGGCTATGTCTGGGGTGCTGTGAGCACACTTCTTGTCGGCGGTGTCGCTGCCGCTGCAGCGTTTGGGATCGTTAGAGCACTGGAGGGCCAAGAGTAGGCTCGCATGGGTGCAGCGAAAGTATATTACGCCTTGGAATCTGTCTAATATAGTGTATTTTGTATTTTATCTTGGGCCACATACAACTCTCAAGCCCTAACCCCAACGGCTTCTGATGAGATCATTCACGATGTGATCTGACGCGTGACGCGCGCAAATTGAAAATGATTTTGCAGGAAACCATTCTGTGCGGCGTAACGCCCGCCGCAGGGCCAGGTTCCATCGCGTTCCACGACCTCAAGACTGGATCCACACTCGCGTCATTCAAACAGACTACCTCTGCTCTCCATTCGACCGCCGTCGTCCAGACTCGAGATGGTCAAGGCGGCTTACTTTTTGCAGCACAGCAGGATAAGTCTATTATGAATGTTTACAACTTCCAAAAGGTGTGGGTATCGTTGGAATTCCGTTACGGCCTTGTATGCTGATTGCTGGCCACCAGGATCAAATCAGTCTGAAGATCGTACTGCCTGAAAAACTCACCTGCATCGCGATAGACCATTTCGGAGAATATTGTGCCGGAGGGACTGCTCAAGGACGCATCTACCTTTGGGAGGTGTGTCAACTGAATACATTCGTGAACCGGGTGATCTGACTGCCCCTTCAGATCGCGTCCGGATACTGTTCAATTCCTGGGACGCGCACTACCGTCAAGTTACCGTGCTGAAATTCACCCACGACGGCGCAGGGCTTGTGTCTGGCAGTGAGGACTCCGGGATCAGCGTGTGGTCTGTATCCAGGTTAATCTGCCGGCTCTCGTCATTGTCGCTGATATTGACCTTGGTCTTAGATTACTGGACGACGATGTATTGAACGATCTCCCTCTCCCCTACTGCGTGCTCTCGGACCACACTTTGCCTGTGACGGACATCGCATGTGGAATTGGCGCGTTTCCACGTTGCCGGATCCTGTCTGCTTCTGTGGACCATTCTGTGAAGGCCAGTTCGAGTGCCCGCGCTGTCCGGAGATGCCTGACATCCTCCACAGCTATGGGACCTTGCGTCTCAGTCACTCCTCACCACGTTCCAGTTCCCCCAGCCGATCTCGTGTCTGGCGTGGGACGCGACGGAGCGACTGTTCTTTGCTGCGTCGAAGGACGGGTCCATCCACCAGATGAATCTGTTCAAGCAGCGCGAAGACAAGAGTGGCGCAGCGCGCGTGGATGCGATTGGCGGTGCTGGTGTAACGGACATCATCCGTGCAGGAGAGGAGGACACGCGAAAGGCACAGAAGCGGCGGCTTATTTCTGTTGGGTGTGTGGAGTTGCATATACTGTGCTGACATCGAATAGCTGTGCTAATTTCGATGCAGGGAACCCGTTCTATCGATCGCCATCTCCCTGACGTCGACTTTACTTCTGGCTGGGACATCAACGGGGCTGATCCACATCTACGACATCCCATCGCACCAACTGCTGCGCAGTGTATCGACGCACAAAGGCAGTTCAATAACGCAGTTGGCAACACTGTTGAAGCCCCCAGATTTGATCGGACACGTGAGCCTGAGCCTGCAGGCGGGGACGTCGTCCATGGTGCCGGTTAGACATGTTGCCCCGTTCCAGCGCATGAAGGATGCGAAGGCGAGAGAGACTCGCGAAGTGACGATGACGTTGTCTACTCCGGTATGTTTTACCTTGCATAGGGACGATGTGCATCTTATTGACGCAAGATCGCAGGCCAAGGACGAGTCGGTTCTGTATTCACCGGAGGCCTTGCTTCGGGACCACGAATTCTTTGTCAAAGCCACTGGTGGGGGCGATACCGTGTCTCTGCAGTCCAAAGTCACCGAACTGGAGTCGGAGGTCGCGCGCTTACGAGAGCAGCTCGGCAAAGCCAAGGGTATCAACGATGCCATCTGGGAAACCGTCGTGCACAAGGTTGTGAAGCCGGACGCGGTTTCGGGTGAACCTCAGCGCAAACGAGGTCGGACAGACGATACTTAGATACATTCAGACAGATCTATCCACATACAGATTAGTAGATACAGCGGTTCACTGGAGGAATCCGGTCAGACGCCAATGGTCCACCCACTTGCTGACCAAGTCGGCATTTATCGGGGGCGCAGCGCCGAGACTAGGCGCGTATTTGACGGTGTTCGTCGTGACAAAATCCATAGGTTTGCGATACGCCTTTGTGTAGCGCAATCGGAAAAAGGACTGGAATCGAGTCAATGTGGAAAACGGTCAGCCACATACGAGACACGCACCAGCAGTTTAATGACCGGATTCTTCTCTCCATCCGCGTCAGATGCCGCCAATCTCTCGAGCCAGACCCCGCGATCCGTAGCGTCGAAGTTGAGACCAGCGGATTTGAGGAACGCCAGCATGTCATTCCAGGAGGTGCTCGTGTCTGGATTCACGATGTGGTAGACGGTGGCTGTGTGTGGGGCTGAAAGTACAATTTCAGTGATGCTTTTGCCAGCGTAGTCGACAGGCAGCCAAGACGGATGCTACTCGCCAGTGAGCGCGAGAATTTGATATACGACGTGGAAACTCACCTCATCGACCATGGGAAGCGCCCCAAACGATTGAGCGCCCTTGAACATCAACGGCCATGCTGCAAAATGTTCAGCCTAGGATCAATCCTTAGAGCAGCGTCGCATACCTTCAGTCTCGTTCCAGACACCGTTCACAGAGTCTCCAACCATCTGGCCGATGCGCAGTACCCCGACAGATAGTCCCGTGAGCTCCGCCGCTCGCTGGCAAAGCTTCTCTACGACCCATTTGCTTCTCGCGTATCCCGTTCCTGCAGCGGAGCTCGGCGTCTCCGAAAAGTCCTCCGAGCATTCAGATTCCGGGCCGCCTTGCCGACAGCTGATCGACGAGCTGAAGAAGAAGGATGCCGGCTTCGCGAATGGCGAGGAGAGACAGAGATTGATCAGGTTCACCGTGCCTCCGATGTGGGCGTCGTAGCTGGCAAGGCCGAGGGCAAAGTTCACGGGCCATGCATTCTGGGTGGAACGTCAGTTGGTTCGAGGCAGTTGGCACAAAAGAGGGCCGACATGGATGACATCCGTCACTTCCTCGCACAGCGATTGGTATTCCTGCTCCGTCAAGCCAAGCAACGGCTCATTCGCATTTCCGGCCAGGGACTGCAGCTTGGCGCTTGGATCAGGCAGTTTACGCGCGGCCATCGACTCCTGGATCCGACGCAGAGAATCTTCGTGGGATTCGGCACGGGATAGACACACTACGCGCTGCACTGAAGGCGACAAAACAAGCTGGTGGAGAATATGGGCACCCAATGACCCGGAGGCACCGGTCAGGAGCTGGCGAAACATCAGGCGCCGGTCATTCAATGAGATGCGAACGTACAACAACCCGAGAGGCATCCGCTCGCTGTCGGGTACCGGAATGCCGGCCGACTTTACTCAGCCATTTCTCAACCATAGCGACCATTTCCGTTTCGTAGGCGTTGACAGTCTCCGCACCCTGGCGCAGACCCAGCATGTGATCGGCCAGCTTTTCGACCGATGGGTACTCGTAGACCACATTCTGACCGAGCACTTGTCCGCTCAGGTCGAGTTCCTTCTGGCAGACGTTTCTGATTCTCGTGCCTTGCAGCGAGTCAACGCCAAACGCGAACAAATCGACAGTCCGAGTCAGATTGGCTGCTTTGACCTGTCCCAGGGTCTTCTCGATTGTCCGCATGATATACTCCTCGAGTTCAGCTTTGCCGAGCTTGAGCTTTTTACTCTCGTCGTCCTCGTGCTCGAAGCGCGCATACACGCCCTCTGATTCCATGAGTACAGGTTCTGTAGAAACCAGGAAAGCACCGACCGATGATATCCTTAAATTTGGCATAACATGCCGGTCGAAGAATGGACATTTTCGTAGCCACAGGGACCGCGGTACCATATCTAGCCATGAATCAGATGTCGATCAACACACAAGGAAGTCACAAACGGGAGGAACTCGATCATATCAGGCAAGATTCGAGAATGAGTGGGAGCTGCTGCATTGGCCTCTTCCACGACAGGCCAGATCTTCTCTAACAATTCTGCTTGCGACAGGTCTTTACCTGCCTCGGAGGGAAGAATAAGACATCCGGTCTGAGGTTTGCCAGCGCCGAATACGATGGCTGAACAATCGTGAAAAACAGCGTGACAATCAGCTTCCGACTGATCATGGATTGATCAAACAGACCTTCGGCCACATAGGGACTGTTACCCCGAATGCACAGTTCTATCGGCACTGGATTCGTCTTCTCTCCGAGAGTCTGAACAAGTGTGTCGTCCAATCTGCCGACATACTTGTACCAATCCGCGTGGGACGGGTGGCGGAGGAAGAGATCCTTCGTGGCATACGAGCCATCCGGCCGATTCGTTTCAATCTTCGCACTGTCAGACAGCAGTTGCGCAGTCAGGAAAAGAGCAAGAACCTTGGGTGGATAGCCGTCTTTCACAACAGCCTCGAAAGTGTTGTCCCCGCGGGCTTCCATGGTGAGATAGTCGACAATAGTCCCCTTGGCACGCAGCCAGTTCCAATCTTTGTCAGTCGCCATCTCGCGGTCGGAGTTGAGCAGACTGCCGGTCTTCACGACATTAGATGGTTGAGCGATGGTGTGGGTTGACAGACCTCGGTAGTGCCATATATGCTGAGCAAATTCACACCGGCAGCGACGAGACGGGTTCCGAGATCATCTGGAAGAGCGGCTCCTGCATAGCTGACAACGTCGAAGCTGGCAAGGGCTTCGGTCCCTGCTTTCGTCTCGGCCAGAAGCTATGCGGCGTCAGTGCAGGTTTCATCCTGACGGCCCCTCACGAACCTTGATGACGTAGGGAACAGCGACGAGTTGCTTCACTGGTGGCGAGGCGCTGAGGACCGTGGTGATGTTGGTCGCCGTCAGCGGCAGGTGCGCCGGGAATAGAGTAACGGTCTTCAAAGAATACATGCATCGAAAACTGCGAAAATTGTTGGCCGGTTAATTGAGCGTATGCTGGAGCGGGAAGCGTACATAGAAAAGTGGCCATAACCGTGGTAGACGGGCAGCGTGCTGAATCCGGGTTTGTTCTGGTTGATGGCGATATTGGCAATGAGACCTGAGTGTGTGACGTATACTGGTTTGGGGAAGCCGGTCTATAAATAGGGAATGAGTACGGGAAAATAGAGCATCTTCGCACGACTGACCGATCCCGACGAGTGCAGAACTACCGCCGTCCGAGACGCCTCTTGCTCGGGCGACAGAGTTGGAGCCATCGGCTCCACTTCCGACTCATCAACTCCACCGGTGCCCCAGAGTGGATATCGCTGGTCCGGGACAAGGACTATCTTGTGACCTTGCGAGTCAAGGATCGCCTTGGCCTCTTCAGCCTCCGCAGCGAAGCGGTCCGCGTAGATCAGATGGGTGGACGCAGTGAGCTTGCACAAATGCGCGACAGCAGGCACGGAGTTGTTCACAGAGAGGAGCAATGCGCAAAGCCCTGTCGTGAATATACGTATAGGGAAGCTTTCGTTATCAGCAAGGCATGGCGCACCTAATTTCGCCAAAGCAATTTCAAGGAACGTCTCGTCGATCGAGGAGGTCGTGAAGACAGCAACTACGCGATTGAGTGGGAGGCCCCCCTGATCAGCCGGGGGAACAAGCCCGAGCGATAAGTAATGCCATGCCAGGCGATCGACAGCTTTCTTGACTTGAGAGTACGTGAGACTATGGAGAACGATGGCGTTGTCGCTCTCAGGGATGCCTGTGTACACAAATGGCTGGTCAGGGTTCTCGCGTGCGCGTTTCTCTGATCAATAAATATTAGATCGAGCTAATGGAGTGAGCAAAGGCGGCGGTACCAAGAAGCTCAGTTAAAGACTTGACCTCGGGCGCCATGTTTGGTCGAGGATAAAAATACGGGGTCCCAATGCGGGGAAAGCATGATTCTTATACCTATAGATGTGGTGGGATGACTGTGTCATGGGGGTGGAAGCGCGATGAGGGAATCGACATGTTTATTTTAGTTGGCGGTGTTCGCGGGCCGGACTTCCGGCTGCGCGGTTTCTTGATATCAATGATGTAGTGATCGGAGTCATCACGATGGGAAGCTGTCGGGCCTCGGCCGATCTCATGGTACTGTCACTGTCTTGCGCCTACGTCTACGGTCTCTCACTCATCTCTCGACCGTTCTACACCATCGCCTCAATTGTCACGGGAGAACATAACATATAATTGGACCGTTCCTGGTATGAGCATCTCATTAATTTTGAACGCAGCCTGACAATCGGCAGGTCGTTCATCGCTGAGTCTACTGAAGTCGCAGCAATGGCTGGAGACCCGACAGAGATCGTCGATATAGAAGAGGTGCAATAGAATCTCTCATCAGGAAGGATTTTCACTGAGGTAGTGACTCAGGCTGAGCTTAAAGGCGAGAATGGCGAGATGTATCTGTTTCAATGGCTGTCGGCGGCAGAGAAGGGTATTTCTGGGGCATCTATGGTGCGGCCGGTTTCAAAGCCCTACAACCATTGCTCACGATTCTCAGGATCATCTGAAAGCGAAACAATCTGACCTCGAATCGACTCTCGTCAAAGTTGTGCTCGCCCAGGATCCGTATCCCATGCCAGGCCGCGTCCTGCGTAACAGTGTCGCGCGGTGTCTCGTTGCCCTATATACGCGGGGCGAGACGCGCACACTGTTTGATACGCTCCAAGCTTTCATGAAAGTCATCATTGACTTCAAGACACCCGATCGCGATTCGCACAAGATGTACGTAGTCAAGAGGATTGGAAGGAATTGACGCTGAACCTTCCGGTAGTGCCGCCTTCTCTGTCATAGGGGATATTATGGAGACATTTGGATCCCAGGTGTGGTTTCTCCTGGGTAAATGCTCGTTCTTATGCTCAAACCCGTCACGACCAGTTTATGTCTTTCATGGCGGAGATAACCACTGTATCTGTGCGAACTGTGCGATCATCAAGTGTATGCAGTTTAATCTGCCTTCTCTCTCCCTCTCGCTCAATCACTCTTCAGACTCCCTTGCTGCGGTCGCACGCACTGGTAGCTCTTCGCAAATCGCTTTCGACTGCTGCTAGAGCTGTGACCGACACTTTGTTCAAAGATGTCTCAAAACAAATGCGCTCAGCTCTCACTGACAAATGTCTCCCCGTGCAACGCGGTGCTGCGGAAGTGCGTCCTGTCACAGTCTCCCTGAAATCTGGCGCTGATGATTCAGGTCATCGTTGCTTTGTATTCTGGTCCCGATGCTCATCCCCCTCCGTCTGCTGTTGATGTAGAGAATATCATTTCCCAGTGCGTCAAGTCTTTGGAGACGGCAGATCAGATCACTCGCAGTGCATTGGCTCAATTGGTTGGCCATGTTCTGGCGTTGACCCAAGTTCCCCGTGCTGTCGTCGTCCCAGAGCCAAAAGCAGCAAAGAAAGATAAGAAACAGGGCGATCCCGACGATGAAGACGACAATGCAGTTTCGGCGCATGTGACCACCGAAACAAAACCCACACTGTCCCCAACCGAGATGCTCCACTGTCTCTCTTCTCATTTCAACCGTCTGGGATTATCTCGGAAGACTCGAATTGGCTTGTTTGACTACTACGCGGCTCTCATAACCAAGCTTGGCAGCAGCTTCGTCGAGTCCCAGTACGGGCTCATCATCACACACCTCACGAACGAGATCATTATTGGCCCTCCTGGTCGGCTAGCAAGAACGAGATATGAGCATCTTCTTTTCCGTTCACTCGTCGGAACGCTTCTCCGTGACCTGATCGGAGAACGCATGCTCAGCGAGCAAGGCCAAATCGGGGCTATTCGGGAGTTGGCCAGCGCTTATTTGAAGCGCTGGCCCGCGATGATGCCCGGGTCTACGGCACCCATCGAGACTGTGCTTGTGGTCGTGCTGAGAGAAGTCTCTGGGCTTTTGCAGCAGTTGGGAAATGCGCCTCCGCCCGTCCAAGATGCAGTGGCCGAGCCTCTCGTGACTCTACTCGCGCATCCTAATCACACAGTGCGAGTCAATGCTGCTTGGGCTCTGCGATGTTTCTGTTATTCCACGCCACTTCGCTTGCCGAAGACCGTTATTGTCGTCATGGAGCTTCTTCAGCGCGATCTGTCTCAATTGCTAACACCGACTGCGTCACCCGAAGTGCCTTTCCGTGCATTGGGCCACGCTTATGGACTGGCTGCACTTGTGTCAATCATCCCATCTCGGCCGCTCTATGTGTCATACGATATATCCGCCAAAGTGCTCGATATGGCGACCACGCTGTTGAAGCGGGCCGGAGAGCACGATGTCCGGGTCGCTCAAACTGAGGTCGAAGTTGCCTGGACGGCGTTGGCTGCCCTCATGTCCCTTGGGCCCAACTTTGTCCGGCCCCATCTGCCCCAGCTGCTCGTTCTTTGGCGGAATGCGCTGCCGAAACCAACGAGCAAAGACGCAAGCACGGCTGCCGGGCGCAGTCATGCTGAATGGGGTTTCCTTTTGCACGTTAGAGAATGCGCGCTGGGCGCTATTCTTTGTTTCTTGCGCCACAATTCCGGCACACTGGTCACGCTGGATGTCGCGCGCAGGATTGCATCATTGCTCAGCAACGCGCTGCTTTTTGCCAACAACTTCGTCAGCCCTGCGGTCCAGGATGCGTTGGGACTCAATGATGCGGCACAGCAGACGCCGAGTGGCGCTGGCCCGCAGGGTTTCCCGCTCTCGTCTCGCGAGGCTCTGTTGAGGAGGAGAGTCCATCAGTGTTTCGGCGCGCTCGGGTTCAACGCGATCACGGACTCGACGCAGACGACCCTGCTTCAATCTTGCGTCACACTGTTTGCGAGTCCCGACTTGTATCCTGGGTCGATCAGCGCCATGCAAGCTGCCATCGCGTCGTCCTCTGGCACATTCACCAACGTCTGGGCGAGTGGAGATGGGTATGCCCATGGTGTTACGTTCATTGATATTGGAGACGATTTGGATGAGGATCTAGAAAGGGAAGGGAAGGATAGGGACCCACTGAATCGTGACGCTATTGAAGTAGCGATCGACAGTATGGTGAGTCTGCGCGTTTTCCTTGTAATTGTTCTTATCTTCCTTGAGCTTCGAAGGCCGATCATTGGCGCCTGTGAGCACGACCCTCTTACGCTATGTCAGGTGTCGGATGCAGAGTACCAACTCCAAGAACCCCCGCCCGCCCTGACGTCTGTTGTCGACACCTCCATCGAGCTCTTCGCACAGCTTCTTCCACTACAGGATCTTTCTTCTATCACGAAAACGTTGGCTCTCCTCCTTGACTCGCTCAAGTCTCCCAAGTTGGAGAAGAACGTGGCTCGGAAGGCGGCTGTGAATGTGAACGTTGCAGTTTCGATCGTACTGGCTCTGAGGCAGGCCATGTTGAGTAACAGAAAGGCCAAGGATACCTTTGGAAGCTCCCAGGTCACGAGCCTATTGTCCACCTTTTTAAAGGTCTGCTTGTCTCCCAGTGATCTCTCCGCTTCTCACTGATGTGTGAATAGGATGCACTGATTGATGGTGATCTAGTGCTCAGAGCAGCGAGCAGCGAGTCCATCGGCCGACTGGCTAATCTGGGTGGCACCAACTTTTTGACTGCTGAGACCAAGTTGCTCGTTGATCAGGTCGTCAACAACCGTGACCCATCGGGGCGGGCTGGATGCGCATTGGCGTTTGGTGCCATCTACAGCCACGTAGGCGGACTGGCCGCTGGTCCGTTACTGAAAACGACGGTCAACGTGCTCATGTCGTTGAGCAACGACCCCCATCCCGTTGTGCATTACTGGGCACTCACTGCGCTGGCTCGAGTGATGCGCGCTGCGAGTCTGGCATATGCTCCATTCGTGTCGAGCACACTCGGGATGTTGCTCAAGGTCATGACGATGGAATCGCATGAGCGCGAAGGTGGTACCCAACACAATGCGAATCTCAGCGGAGACTGCCCCGCCTACCCCGTCGCATGCCAGATCACGGATGCAATCATCAATATCCTGGGGCCCGACATGCAAGACTCGGCCCGCACTCGAACGCTGATCTTGAATCTGGTGCACGAGTTCGCCCGCGAGAGCGAGGAGGGAATCAGGGTTGAGGCCATAAAATGCATGCAGCATCTGCTCATGTTCGCGCCCGAATACGTCGATATCCCGGCCCTAGTGAACCAGTTCCGGGGCTATCTCGGCTCGTCTAGGCGTCCGCTGAAGCTGGCGTCCATCAATGCACTGTACCAGCTCGTTCAGAAGGACGCGTTGGCTATGTCGAAGTTGGGTGGAGACCGGCTGGTCGAGGATCTGTTCGGGATGCTGGACGACGACTCGTCGGTGCAAGGCGTCCGCGATGTGATCACGAGTTGGCTCGGCCAGACTGTCATACACAATCCGTCGGCCTGGATCGACTTGTGCCAACGCATCATGTCACGGACCACCGCATCCCAGCAGGCCTCAGATGCCGCAGCTGGTCAAGGCCCACGTGACGACGAAGGGGAGTCGCTCAACGTCGGAGGCTCTGCTGATGGCAGCACTCGAAAAATGACGACGTCGCGCTGGAGGACGCAGCTGTTTGCGCTGCAGTGTCTGCACAAGATATGCACGGTCGTCGCCACGAGCGGTCGGAGGGAGCATGTCGATGTGAAACACGCCCGCAATCTTGGCATTAATTCTGCCTCCGGACTGCTCTTTTCTCGGGTGCCCGATTTGATTCGGATGGCATTTACAGCTTCCACCGCATATGTCACAGAGATCAGGCTGGAAGGTCTGGTTGTGCTGCGGGATGTCATTGAGGTGCTTTCTCTTCTCTCCAGTTCTCATCGTTTCTGATCGTTTTGTAGATATTCGCTGCTTCTCCAGACCCTGCGTATGACGACGCGTTGTTGCTAGAACAGCATCAGGCCCCCATTACTGCCGCCCTGACACCCGCCTTCTCGTCTGATTCGACACCAGAGATTCTCGCGTCCGCTGTGCATGCCTGTGCTGTGTTTGTGGGATGTGGAGTCGTCAAGGATGTGAGCAGGATGGGTAGGATTCTCAAGCTATTGACCGCTGCCTTGGACCAATCCAAAGGTGCGTTGTTGCTTACAAGCCTCCGGTACACGAATCCGACATATTGATCTAGACTCGGGAATGCTTTCCCTCGGTGATACGGGTGAGCTCAGCCCCAACGCATCTGCTATGCTCCGGATCTCCACCCTTTCCGCCTGGGCACAACTCGAGACGGCAAGCATCCAGCAGACGTATCTTGTGGATGTGATCAAGTCCTACCGGGCTACGCTCGCCTCGCTTTGGCTTGCTGCTCTGCGCGACTATGCCAGCATCAGAATCGATTCCGAGTTCTTGCTCGATACCTCGTCGGTGGCTTTGGACTCGTCGTACTCGAGCTTGGGGAAGGAGGTTCTGTTACCGGTGCGTTTGTTTTCTGACTCATACGCGGGCTTTGCTTTTCTGACAGCACAAAAGTATTACGCTAGCTCGTGGTCCGTGATCTTGCAAGCCGTCGCCGCCGCGATGCAAGCCAAGGACCCTAACATACTGGCTTCCATGGACGGTCTCGACGCGCCGCCACCCACCACTGGAAACGAACCCACAATGTTGTTCTATGTCATCTTCGGGCTGGTCTACGAGTCTTTGGCCACGGCTTCCACCGAGTCAAGTCCCACATCTAGTCTTAACCGACAGACGAAGGTCATTGCGGCCTTACAGACGCTGAAGTCTCTCGTGCGGCCCGAGTATGCCGGCAAGGCGATAATGGAGCCTCCGATATTCGACGAGTTCACCAGTCTGTGCTATCGAATGGCCATGACGGAGAATGCCGCTGTGCAGGTGCATCTGGTGGAGGTGGTGTCCGTGCTGGCATCTACCCAGGGGCTTGATCAAGATCCGCTTGGAAATGGGTCACCCAGGGCTCACTGCTTGAGGATATGTGCGCATATACTACAGCATGCGACCTCGAGTAAGCGGGGTGCGGTGATCCGTGAGTGTTTCGCAAATGGCCTATTCCATCGCATGCTAATCAGGAGGCAGAGGGTGATTTTGCCGACCGAGTGAGGATGATCATGACTGCCTTTTCCGCGTTCGTCGCTGTTGGAGCGTCAATCGAGAGCTTGCAGAGAGAGGATGTACGGTCAGTTGGGATCCTGTTGTATAGCGGTACGCATCTCCTAGCACATTCTTGACTCGCACTGACGTCCTCCCCTGCAGAACTGCTACGTGATGAAACATCCGAAGCAGACTTCGTTGGGCCTACGCTCCCGGCGCTCAAATCACTGCTCGATCTTCCACTTTCGAAATCCAGAACAGCCGAATCGAGTGATCGATACAGCCGACTCGTCCACGGCCTGCTCTCTGCGTGTCTGCTCAACGTCGACGAGATGGGTGGCCGACAGGGTGTTCTTTCTCTTCGCAAAGTCAAGAACAACCTACTTGCAGCAGTGCTTGTACTGACGGTGGTGCCACCCGGCGCTGGGAAAATCGGAGAGGCGGTGGTTGAGCACTGTTGCTTCTTGATCTCGCAAAAGTTGCTGGATGGAAATGAGGTGCGGGTGATAGATCTGACGCTCTAAACTCTCGTCTGAAAGCGACGTCAGATCTCTCTGCCAGCATCCCACTGCGCGCGGACTTTGATCACAGCGGCGACCTCAGGCAACCTTCTGCTGCAAAAATGCACGAAGCTGTTGATTCCTGGGCTCATCGAGTTCATTGCGAAGATCGCGCCAATGGTGATGGACGGGTCGGTGACCGAGACACATGTAGCTGCGATCGGAGAAGTCTGGAAGGCATTCAGCGCTTATTACGCCTCAGTGCCTGAGGAGCTCAGTGAGTGTCCACTCCATTATCCCTTTCCTCGCCGCTGACATGAACAGAGCCTCGGCTGCTGGGAGTGCTGCTCCCGACGATGACGCTTCTCCTTTCCTCGCCGCAGTCGCCTGTGGCGGCGTCTACAGTGAAAGAACTGCTCGGATACGCTTCAGCGTCGCCCGCGGCGTTCAAGGATGCTGCAGCCAAATTGGATCCAGCCGTCAGAGATGTGCTCGAGAATGCGATCCGCAAGGCTGTTGTTGGGGGAACCGGCCTCGCTGGGTCAGCGAACGCCGCCGCCAAGGGATCTGGGGCCAGTGGGAAACCTCAGATTTCGTTGAGATCATTCTGAGGCATGACACGATCAGTCACGATCACGTGTGTGCATGTAATGCCTTGAGCGCTGGTGTATTTGTGAATAACCAACTACTATTAAAAGGGCAAATGATAGTTTCTCTGTGTGCTAGCTGTGTCTTCGGCTTCAGAGTTGAACGTTGAGCGCTAGCAATGAGTCGTATCTTTACGCCGAAACTCCGCTCTCACACCATGCCGTGGAAGCCGTTGACGCCGACTTGCCCGCACGCGGCGGCGACTGGCGGGCCGAGAGCCTCGGCGCTCGCCGGTCGCATACATCGCGCGTGACCGGATGTGACAACGTCACGTTCACGTCTCCTCCACTTTTTTTTCGCGTTCCCGACTGTCCAGCCTATTCTCCTCTTTACATCATGTCTGTTGCACGCACCCTTCGCCAACTTTCCGCCGTTTCTAGCCGTGTGTCCTCGCGGCAACTTGCCGTCTCTTCTACACGCACACTACTCGCAAGGAGGGTCGCACAACCGAGCACACTGCGTGCGTTCTCGGCCTCCGCCCGAGCCAGTAAGGCTGGTTCTTGTGCGTCTCTTGAGCGACCCATGCTGGTGGCCCGCTGACTGGTTATGCAGCGGATGCTCCGCTTTCGCTTAAGCTCGAGCAGGAGCTCACATTCGAGCTCAACGAGCAGCAAGAGAGCGCGGAACCCGAATTCCTGACTTCGTTCAAGAAGCAGGGGCTATGGACTGTATGCGTGCCGCCTGATAATTGCTTCCTCCTTTCTCATAGCATGCCAGGTCATTGACGAGGCCGGAAACAACGAAGTGACGCTCACCCGTCAATTTGGCAACGAGAAGTGCGTTTCTCGGGATTTCACTTGTTGTCTTCTCTGAAATGCGCTCATAGTATCCGACTGGTTTTCTCTGTTTCTGATTTGGCGAACCAGGAGCCCAATGAATTCGAGGACATGGAGGAGCGCAATGACGAGGAACAAGAGTCTGGGTCGGATGCCATGCGTGCTGTTGTGTCTATTACCAAGGTGAGCCGGGGATATGCCCCAACGCGTGGGTTCTTTTCTGACTTCGGTCTACAGGGTAACGCACCTGGCGCCCTCGACATCGACATGACCGTGCAGGGTGGGCAGTTCCTGGTGGAGAATGTCACATTCTATAACGACTCGAAACTCGGACAAGACATCAGCGTCGAGGGAGACTGGAAGCGCCGCGGCCTTTACATTGGCCCGGAGTTCACGACGCTGGATGTGCACTTGCAGGAGCAGTTTGAGAAGTTCTTGCAGGAGCGGGATGTTGGCGAAGCGACGGCGTTCTTCATTCCTGAGTACGCACAGTTCAAGGAGCAGAAGGTCTGTTTTGTGTCTGTTCTACGTGTTCTCGCTGACACCCGTGGTTCAGGAATATGTTCAATGGCTGAAAAACGTCCGGGATTTCATCGACGCATAAAGTATCTTAACATAATGACACTAATTATTAATGACAACCCCCTCCACTCCGATCCGGAACCATACGTCCAGAGATTGAGCAGCCGGGTGTCCCGCGCTATCGTCCGTTTTCAAACCAGACTGTCGTTTGGACCCACAACGTAACATCGTGCAACTTCTAGCCTCGTGATCTGTTTTATGCCCTTGTTCTCTCTTCTCTTCGCTACTGATGTGGCAACGTGCGCGCGTGCGTTACAACAATAGTCATGCCTTGCACTATGGTATGTATATAATCGTCGGGGGTTCTGTGTCGTCCGCTCATCCTCGAATTGATGGCGACAAGAGTAATCCCGCCGCCGTGGTATGACATGTTGCCTCCACCTCCTACTTCGGCTCTGCCGCTTGGGGGAACATCGCTGCCTATAGCTCCGCCGCGTCCCCTGAGAAGGCAACGACAACGGCCGCAGCATTGGCCACAATCCAACGGGCAAAACTGGCCACAACATGCACAGCCGCAATATGTGCATCCTGCGGAATGATACACAATACATACATTACCCATCTCTCGCCAACTATTAGTATCCGCATCTAGTAAAACCTCCGCCGATTTTGGGGCCTCAATATCTGATAATGCCGTTCACCCCCGCTCACCTCTAGAACTACATGCAGACTCCATTGCATCCTGCGATGCCTACATCTTGATTTCCTTCGTGCGCCTTGGTGTTATGATGAATCCACGATTGACTCTTGCGATTTACATTCAGAAAGTTACACAGCTATATATAAAAGTAGAACAGAAAGCGACAGCCAAGTCCAGTCCCATTAGTTGCGGTAGTGATAAGGTAGATCGTCTCCGACGGGTTGCTCGCGTCTTCACATCACAACGCATCCCTCACTGGTGCTCTTGGAACGCGTGCTCAGCGATACACGAGCTGCCTCGTAGAACACCTCCGTCACACCGCGATTGTGCTTTGAGCTGCACTCTGTCTGCGGTTGGTCGTGAGCGCGACTCGATGCTGCAACACTCACCCAGATACCGCGAAGCACGTATTCGCCTGGCAACAGCCAGTCCCTCCTCGTATTGGACAGGATGCGCGCCATGTCGTTGCAGTCGCTCTCGTATTGACCGATCATCCCGAAGATCACATTTCAAGGCTGTCACGGTTTGACAGACGGCTTGAATGGCGAGCAGTAGCACATACCCACGAGAACGAGCTGATAAGCACCATGTCAGAAAGAATCGACGGGACGTTGCGCTGGGAGAAAGTCACCTTCACCCCAGGACAGTACTCCAATATCTCATCCAGCCACTATTCACCGTAAATAAAGGTTGGTGTCCCAAAGCTTGGTCCGACGCACCTTCGTTTCGACGTTTTCTAGAGACACTGGATTATCTACCTGGAGGACATCGGAGATATGAACGGATAGATATGCAAGAGAACGTACCGAAAAGCAAAGCATAATCACATGGGTCTCCGCATAAGATAGTGAGCGGAGGCGATCAAACTCCTCCTGCCCTGCTGTATCCCATAGACTGAGCTCCACTTGCTGTTCGTCGACATAGATGTCGTGCACATAATTCTCAAAGACGGTCGGTTCACTGACAATGGAACATCAGTCGTTTCTAGATGAGAAGAGACGAAGGCCGCACTAGACTTGACTGAAGAATCCTGTGCCACATTAGCCGGAGGTGCAGAAAGAAGGAGATATTTGGGGGACTAACCGCGTGTGAAGACGTTCAGCAGGGAAGTTTTGCCTGTCAGAAATGCGTGCTAAGATGAGAATGGACGCGCGATGTGCGCTCGGGGGCGCCAACATATGCGTACCACGTACCGCAGGCTCCGTCACCGCAGACTTCGGGCCTATATGAGTAGCTGGAGAAAGTTATTGACCTAGAGAACTAACCGACAACTTTTCGTTGGATCTAGGCAGAATGTAAAATATACGGTCGCGAGCAGTAGAGTAGAAAGCATACTGGCTTTCCGCGACCGAATCCACCGCGTTTAGATCCGCCGCAGACGGGCATAAGGCGAAGGTGAAGGTAGAGGTCAAAGGGGATTTCGTTCAAGCACGTGAGGAATTTACTAGACCTGATCGACTACATTGTCGGCTCTATCCATTGTTACCGTACTTGTGCGCCCATCGTCTTACCCCATCCTCTTGACAACCTCAAGACGAGTCTCCACTCTACCTCATTCTAAAGCCTACATACCTCCGACATCCACTTCGTTCACTCGATAATTCGTCGCGACGTCTGTTGCAGGCAATCCAATGTCATTTATGTTACTGTTACGACTCGATGCGCGCATCCGTTTTGTAACCCGGGAGACTTAAAGCCTTGTCTCTCATCATTCAGCGTCCATTTCTTCGTGATAAATATTCTTCCCGAGTTCCTGGATACGCGTCAACGGTGCAGACAGTCAGGCGCCCCTTTGTTTTTTGTGGCACCTGCCCCCTCTTATTGAATCAAACCACCACCACCTTGCCTCTCCCACCTACCCCCTCAAATGCGTTCCGCATGGCTGAAAGCTTTACACTCACTTATATTTCTTCCGCTCGTTTTTGCTGCGTCTGCAGAAGAATGGTCTAGCAGGTCCATTTATCAAGTATTCCTTCTCGACGTGGACAACATTGATAGAGCGTTAACCCGCCTAATGCAGATTGTCACAGACCGTTTTGCCTTGTCCACCAACTCTTCTGCGCCGTGTGACACGTCGAAACGGACATACTGTGGAGGTACATGGGCGGGAGTCACCAATCACCTCGACTACATCCAGGGCATGGGCTTTGATGCGTTATGGATCTCACCGGTGGTGGAAAACATGGATGGAACGGCCTATGGTGATGGGTATCACGGGTGCGTACACTAGGTCCCCATTGCGTGGAAACTGACCCAGCGCTAGATACTGGACGCAAGACCTCAATACCATCAGTCCTCACTTCGGCACGAGTGACGATCTGCATTCCTTGATCAATGCGGTACATGCTCGAGGGATGTACATCATGTTCGACGTCGTTGTGAATCATTTCGCTTCCGTGCCGACCAATACAACCCCCGGCTTCACGTTCGACTACTCGAAACTAGCTCCGTTCAATAATCAGGCACAGTATCATCCGCTATGCTTCATTTCGGACTACACGAACCAGACAAATGTTGAGCAATGCTGGCTGGGCGATGCTGCTCTGCCCTTGCCGGACATCAATACGGAGGATAGTAACGTTGTGACCACTCTGAATACCTGGATCAAGAACCTTGTGTCGACCTACAACATCGATGGCTTACGAATCGACACGGTCAAGCACATCCGGCGGGACTTTTGGCCCAGTTTCTGTTCGAACGCCGGTGTATTTACTCTGGGGGAGGTGTGTCGTGCCTACTCACCCCTTGCATCTGCTACAATGCGTCTAGGTTCTTTCTGACGATCCCAACTTTGTCGCTCCCTACATGAGCTCGGTAGATGCTGTGCTCGACTACCCGACCTGGTACAACCTTCGCAGCGCCTTTGTGAACACGACTGGCAATCTCTCTGCTCTGACAAACTCGCCATCCTTGTATCGTCTCTCCAACTCGTCGACAACTTCGCCTGTGCGCACAGCTGCTTTTCTGGAGAACCATGACCAAGCCCGATTCGCGTCTTCTACATCGGATATCTCTCTCACGAAGAACGCCATGGCGTGGCCGTTCGTTGGGGACGGGATCCCGATCATGTATTACGGACAAGAGCAGGGCTATGAAGGAGGCTCGGACCCTTCGAATCGCGAAGCGTGAGTGTCGTCTTATCACTCATCTCGTAGCCATCAATCTAACCCAAAGCTAGCCTGTGGCTCAGCGGATATGCGACAGGCAAGCCCCTTGTTGCACATGCGAAATCCTTGAACGTCGCTCGCAAGCTTGCCATCGCAGGCAATGCCAGTTTCCTGTCTGGCGAGGTCAGTGTGCTGCTAGTATCACATAGCTCGCGAACTCATCATCGGATCCAGGCGACGTGGATCCCGCAGTCGGACCCGAGTTCTATCATGCTCTCAAAACCACCGATGCTGTCGCTGTTTACGAACATTGGGACCGCGTCGTCTCGTCAACCAACATGGACCATCCCGGCCAGACTGTATCCTGTCAACAGCACTCTGGTAGACACCCTTTCTTGCCGCAAAGTAGCCGTCAATGGCACAGGCGGAGACACCTCTGTGACTGCTGTGCAAGGCTTGCCCCAGGTTCTTATTCCATTGAGCATGCTCACTGCCCAGGCCGGGCTCTGTCCCTCGCTCGTAACTTCAGCCCAAAGCGCAGCACCACCGAGTCACCGGATCTCTCTCTCACTTTTGGTATCCACACTGTCTATATTAGCGTATTCGTTAGAGCTCTAATAGCGTAATTCTGGAATGCTACAGACCTGTTCTTGAAAAGGAAACTGGGAGTGCCACGCAGAACCCGTGACCGCGACACTCCTTTCACTTAACCTCTGCTATGGCGAGCAGACGCATGTCCCAGTCATTTACCCTAGAGAATTCGCAGGTCTTGCTAGATGACCCAGAGGGCGCCGATAAATGGGTAGAGGAGTGGAGCACAGTCCTTGCTCAAGGCGGGCTTCCTTTCGCGCATGGCGAACGGCTTTCTGAACGCGTGCAGACCTTATCGATGGTGACTCGAGGATTGTAGATGTGGATGCGGATATGACTGTCGAGGGGGCTTGTGAGGTGTGTTTCGAATGCAGATCAAAGGAACACGATAGCCGACGAAGTTCCAGCTCCTTCTCTCGGAGAACATCTTCTGTCTCGCTGTCAAAGACACTCAAGCCGATCCCGCTCGTCCGTACATCGGACTCTTCGATGTCTGCCACGCTGCTGTGCTGACGCTTTGCCCCGCTGATGCCTAGCTGCAGTTCGCAGACGTCAATGCCTTCTTGACTTTTGCTGCGACGCGGCATACGCTTCCTAAAGATGAAGTGCTGGAAAACCCACGCATAAACTCAATAATGATTGCTGCTCGCGACGGCAGCATTCCCATTCGCCTGGTCAGCAACTTGTCGGACAAGAATCCCCTCGAGATCTTGCCCAGCGATGCGACGATTGTCTCTCTTCTTGAGGTGTTCTCCAAGGGAGCTCATCGGGCGCTTATATCTTCTCCGAATGCCAGCGAACCTTATCTGGGCTTCGTGTCTGACCGACAACTTCTGGCGTGGTTTGCTGCCTATAGCCCCATCGAATCCTTTCTGACAACGCCTCTGTCCCATTTATCCCTGCCGTCACTGAATGTCTTCACCATTGTCATCACTGCAAACAGCAAGGCCACTGTTCTCGACGCCATGAAACTCATGAGCGAAGAAGGTGTCAGCAGCGTCGCCGTGCTTGACGATGACAGTGGTGTGCTGCTCAGCGCTGTCAGCGTTACGGATATAGGGAGGATTTTGGTGCCATCTGAGACCAACCAAGTCTTGAGTACCTCACTGCAGCAGTTTGTTATGCAGATAAAGGATCCCCATGGAAGGACGGATGGCGTGGACAGATTTCCTGGTACGCTGGCGCTCAGCAGTTTTGCATCAGGGACTAATCCATGGACTAGTGTATGCTGTTTCGCCAACGTCTCCTCTCTTCCACACCATTCAGAAGCTGTTGACCAGTATGTGACGGATTCCGTCCTCAGCAAACACTGATCGACGACACAGCCAACTCACATCGAATGTTCGTAGTACATGAGACTGGCACTCTATCCGGCGTCGTCTCTGTGGTTGACGGTATGTTTTGTGACCTTTCTCTCGATGGGATCCTGATCTTTGCAGTATTGTCTGTGTTTGCCCGGTTAGCTCATTTGCCAGACGTCGATCCAGCACGAATGAGACGTCATCGCCGGGCTTCCTCTACTTCCTCTAGTCGTTCAAGTGAAGGTATTGGATTAACTAGAACACCCAGCCTCCGAAGCACAACGATCCGGAGCCCAAGATGACAAGTGAGCCCCGACCTCGTAACTTGTAATACATGTACATTGTATGTATCCGACGGGATTGATCTATTGCACCTTCTCGACACCAGGGGGCAGCACATATCCACCTTGCTTGCGCACCTATTTCTGTTGAATGACGTCCAACTCAAGTGCGCAACGAACACACCTCATCAAACACTTGCATCTCCAACAAGCTCTTGTCGAAACCCCACAGGGCACTCTCCATCTTCCCGTCTCGGATGCATCTGGCGACCTCGTCTGCCTCCCAATGCATTCCATGGCCAACGTACTCGAACGACTTGTCTTCTTCGCGAAGGATCTTCCCTCCCTCCCCGAGGTATTGCACCGAAAACGATTTACTGAGGTAGATCGGCGGCGCAATCCGGATGACACCTTTCTCACAGCGGATGGTCACCCCGGGAGTAACCGTCTCTGCGTTTAGGCTGCAGCTGAGAATGGCTTGCGCACCGGATCCGAGAGACGGAAAGGCGAGCGAGAAGGAGGTATTGGCATCTACGCCGGTCAGCGGTGTCTTGACCATGTTACCGCTGACGGGAGAAGGCAGGGCCAGCGAGTTGAGTGGCGATTCGTAAAGTGTCATGATGGCCTGTTGTGACTGGTCAGACGTGGGGGTCTCGTTAAAAACTGGAATCCACTGGCCCAAACGAGCGGGTATGGTCCTCTGGAAAAGAAGTGAGATACTCCTTGAGGAAAGCTGTTTGTCAGCACGTACAGATCGAGCAACGCGCCACCTCCAAGTGTAGGATCGAGCATCCGATGAGTCTTGGGGATATCTACAGGCTTCATCAACGAGGGGTCGTTGTATGACTGAGCGACATACTCTGTATATCGAAGTTGACGGACAGATCTGCATGCACGACAATAGGCTGCCCCAGTTCTCCCGAATGCAGCAACTCCAGCACGGCACGCGGCAGCGGCTGGAATCTGGTCCACATAGCCTCCATGAAGAACACACCGTGCTCTTTCGCGGCGGCAAGCAGCGAGCGCAGCTCAGCCGCATTAGTAGTGACCGGCTTCTCGCACAGAACGTGTTTCTTGGCCCGGATCGCGTCTAGGGCATTCGTGTAGTGGAAGGTGTGCGGGGTTCCGATGTAAACGACGTCGACGTCCTTATCAGGATTGAAGGCTGGCTATCGGATGCAGCAGTGTGGGGATCTACTAACCTGGTCCGAGTACACTTCCTCGTAGGTCCCGTACGTCTTGATGTTGGTATCGCCAGCGGCATTCGCGGTCACAAACTTCTGTGCAGACTCGACGGAGCGTGAGCCTACAGCAACAACTTTGTGCGCGATGTCATCGACGAGACGGCTTTTGACAAATGAATCATGGTTCTGCGCAAATGAGGGATATCGTACGTCTTGGGATCTATGAGCAGATCCTAAGAGGACGTCAGGGTTTCGTCCTCCACCTCGCAACACTGCCCCATACCTTGACAAACACAGATGCCTAAAACGCATCAGTCGTTGGGAATGAATCCAGTGAGAGTCCCTCACTATTTTCCCCGTTGATATGATTCCCCAGCGAAGAACAGTCGTCATTGTGGTGAGGGAAAGAGTTGACGCTTATCTTATCATCTCAAAAGATAAGATCAGACATGCTACCGCTCTCTGGGTCGAGGGAATGATGGTACTCGAACTGGTTGAAGTAGTAGTTTCTAGACACCAAAAAAGCGTCGGACAGACAGAGATAACACATTAGCTGATTACTAAGGTAGCGCGGGAGAGAATTACAGAGACATTATGGTACAGCTAAAGACAACATGCCATCCATCTACAAGCTCCGCATAACAGAGTCATCGACGCCCATGATCATGTTACGCACGAGCAGATCTTGGCCGCGCATCTCCAAAATACCTCGCAATCTGTCAGCCATTTCCTGTTTGGTGCCTGTCGCGACAATGGACGAGTTGCAGTCGGAATGGGCAGTGAGATTGCGTTTGAGAGCAGCGGCAGAAAGCTCAGGTACCAGCTCTGGACTCGAAATAAGCGGAGGAGCCGGATTTAGAAGATATCTTGATGATAAGTCTTCGGCCGTCCTGAGTATGTCATGCGCAGCTCATGACGAACGCAACGCACGATCGATGTAGTTCTCACACGCAGATGGGATCTCGATGTCGATGATGCGTCGCTCGTCGTAAATGACTCGGGCGAGGCGGCGAAGACCTGCCATGTGGATACTTGTGTCGAGAATGGTGAGAAAAGAAAGCTTCGAAAACAAGAGCAGAGCGGGAATAGCGTCGTCGTCGATGTGTGGGTTGGTTGCGATCGAGAGTTGGAGGAGAGTGCGCTTGAGGGAAACAAGAAGGTATATGCTGCGGTCTATTGAGCAGTCATTCACCGCGATCAGCAAAAACCAACGCTTCGTTGCCAATTCCAGTGTTGTTCAGGAGCAAAGTAACAAGGCGAGGCAGATGATGGACGTGCAACAGGTCGGATTCGTGAACACGGGTTCCACTGAGACAGAGCTCGGAGAGGAATAAGAAGCTGTTGGGTTTGCTGAAGACTGATTATAATCAAACACGGTGCAAACGCGAGAAAGGATGATCACGCACTAGGCAGAATGTCCCTGCCCGCGAGATTCAGCCCATCCTCATCATTCATCGACTCAGAGAGCACCAGTCGCCAGATTTCCGAAGTTCGAAGCACAGAAAGAACACGAACGTTCAACAACCCTCAGATGCGTCAGTGAGTTTGACAACCAGGACCCAAGGTAATCACCGTTTTCAGCCAAAAAGTCAGTTATCGCTTGATGACTCAGATTGGGAAGCCTGAGAAGACGTTCTTGCAGACGAATCCCAGGCATCATCTCGTCCAGACTCATAATGAATGGCATTAGGCCGCGGGGTGATTCGGTTCCTATGGGCGGTCCATACAGCTCGTCTGAGAGGGAGAATATATGCGTCGTAAATTGATGAGATAGGCAAGAAGTACCTTCCAGAGACCGAATCTTTGTCTTGAAATCGTCGACGAGTGCAGGCTTAGTATTCTGGTTCGGAACGGTATTCATGTTTCTGGGTCGCAAAATAAGAGGGGACGGTTGCGGCTTGGAAGAAAAATAGTCTAGTCTTTCTCGCTTGACGCTGACATCGAACGAGCGATCATGCGATGATTGAACGGAGGGCTGATACAGAGCAGGTCCACGCAAGTCACTAAACGTAGTAGATTCGGAGTCGGCACGTTTTCTTTTGAGAGGAGCATTGGCCCGCAGATTAGAGGACGTGGTCTTTGTTGTCGTCTTGACTATCGTGGTACTGCTGCGATGCTCGAAAGATAGGTTCTCGCGAAGGACAATTGATGAAGTCAGCGTAGATGCATCATCCGAGTTTGCAGGTGGGAATGCAGAGCGCGATTCAAATTCTTCGTCCTTGAGCGCTCTGTCAAGGATACGGGAGAAGGAGTGCACATATTGCTCATTTTGCGACCGGGAACGTAGAGAAGAACGGGAGTATTTGCGTCGGGATTGACGCCGGAGAGAGCTGATATATGAGGAAGCGGTGATAGCAGGGCAATAGAGAGGATTCTTTTCGTCGATTGTGGGTAGAGATTGATAGGGCATTAGGAATTAAGAGCCGGTGGTGGTAATGGATTAAGGTAAGTAGTGCGTGACATGACCCTAAGAGTGACAAAAATGTGACCTTCGATGATCCTACATACATCCATGATCGAATTGGTGATTACGCTAGTCCTTCAGCAGGAAGTCAGACTGGGCCAGTCCTGGTGCACTGTTATCATATGTCTCCGGTTTGAAATCGAACAGACACGTCATAAGCTAACATACATGCCGGTTCCATCAGAGCAAGCTTGCGATTGAAGCTAAGCCGCGATTAAGAAGATAGGGGCAGACACAGGCACGTGATCGTGTTCCTCAGCCTGCCAACCAAGGAAGCTTGTCTATGTCGTCATATATCTATCTACCTTGGTCTGGTTGTCGACTGACCCATCTGGGCGTGCGATATATATGTCTTTTTCGTGCTGACGGATAACTTCCCGTAAATATAGCATTGATGTGACACATACAATTATATTATTCAGATACAATTACAGACGACTCTCCATCAGAAGTCCGGCTGCATTCCTCCAACCCAAAGTGCCTTGACCAAACGCAGCAGTCAAAGCCTCGTCAACGGTGCGGACGAAGAAAAACTCCATCGCCCGTCTGATTTCTGGTGCCACGTCGTGCTCGACGTCTTTGCGGTTGCTCCAGGGAAGAATGACCTTGCTTATCTGCGCGCGATGAGCACCGAGCACTTTCTCTTTGATTCCACCGACGGCCGTCACTCGCCCCCGCAGTGTGACTTCACCCGTCATCGCTACATTTGTAGGCACACGGGCTCCGGTCAGCAAGGAAACAAACGCGCAGATCTATGTTCGGGTCAGAACTGGGGTATTGTCACTGCGAGCCAGCCCACCATGGCAATCCCGGCACTGGGGCCATCTTTCTTCTGAGCTCCAGCGGGAAGATGAAGATGGATGTCAATCAGCTCTGGAATCTTGAGGGGATCATGGGCGCGCGATTCCGTTATGCACAGGTCATATGCATGAGTCTTCACCCAACTGAGCGCAATCTCTCCACTTTCTTTAATCACCTATGACGGAGTTGAAAAGATCGAATGGACAATGGAACGGATGGTGGCGTACCTCGCCCAGACTGCCCGTCAACTTGAGTCGACCGGCCCCAGGGACTGAGATCGTCTCGACGGGGAGGATGCCTCCTTCACCCTGGCCCATGACCACAAGGCCGTAGACCACGCCGCGCCGTTCCTCTCTCTCGCGTTCTTCGGGATCCCATCTGGCGAGGCCCAGGATCGACTCCAACTCGGCATCCTCGACAAGAGCAGTGTAAGACTTCTTCTCGGCAGCCTGCTGATCCACGTTTTCGGCCCATTCGACCGCTTTGTAGCGGACGACCGCACCAATGGCCCGATCTAAACTCCGCACCCCGGCCTCCCGAGTGTACTGAGTGGCGATGGTCATCAGCGCGGGATCCGTGATCTGCACATGAGTTTCGTCCATCCCGTTGGCACTGAGTTGCTTGGGCAGCAGGAATCGCTTGGCGATGTGCATCTTCTCGTCGTACGTATATCCGGAGAGCTGAACGATCTCACATCGATCTAGAAGCGGCCCAGAAATTGTCTCCAGACTGTTCGCCGTGCAGATGAACAGAACCTGGCTGAGATCGATAGGTACATTAATATAGTGGTCCTAGAACCGGATTAGCATCCATATGTTTCGAGCGAGAGTGCACTTACACTGAAAGTATGATTCTGTTCTGGGTCCAGGACCTCGAGCAGCGCAGCAGAGGGATCGCCATGGAAGTTATTCGCACCGATCTTATCGATCTCGTCCCTGGAAACCAATGAAACAACCTGAAGCTTGTGCAAGATAGTACTCACAGGAGAAGAACAGGATCCGATCGACCCGCCTTGCGCATGGCCTGGACAATCAAACCTGGTCCACTGGCAACATATGTTCGCCTGTGGCCTCGGATTTCTCCTTCGTCGCGCACCCCACCCAGAGATATCCTCTGGAATGGTCGATCGAGGGCCTTGGCGATGGACTGACCCAAAGACGTCTTTCCTGTCCCAGGAGGGCCAACGAAACTGTCCAGACTCGGTCACGCGGAAGAATTAGTAACGAAGATCACATACAGCAAGATCGGGCCTTTGACGCCTTTCCGGGGTGGCCGAGATGGAGGAACGGCGAGATCCTTGCTTTCGCCTCCCTCAACAACGACAAGAGCGGTGCTCGCGGTTTGCCGTTCTCGCTCGGCATTCATCTCCTTCAGTCGGACCACGGCCAGGTACTCAATCAGACGCTTCTTGATTTTCTCCAATCCAAAGTGATCCGCGTCGAGCTGCTCGCGTGCAGCGGCCAGGAATGTCCTGTCTTTCACACCTCGGACCAATTCCGTCGTCGAATTGGGCCAGGGAATCGCTGTCAACCACTCGAGCTGGATACGACAATTAGTCTAATGAGAGGAAAAGTAAGTGGGCCACCTACGTAAGATCGTATCACTCCATTTTCGACAGAGCCGGGCGGAATGCGTTTCAGTCTGCGCCACTCTCTGACACCCATCTTGCGCTCTTCAGACCCTGGCTCCATAGCTTCGATGCGACGCTTGAGATCGGCAAGGTCATCCGCTTCATGCTGCTCGTCTTCATCTAGTTCAGAGCTCGGCCCATTGACCAAGTTTCCGGAAGAGCCTGAAAGAGACGCAAGTTCTTTGTGTATAGCTGCCAGTTGCTGTCGCAGGAAGTGCTCCTTCTGTTGCTTGTACACATTCTCTTCCACCTCGGTTGCAATCTTGGTAGAAACTTCAGAAATGGAGGCGAGTTTATTGAATATTTCTGTAGCATGGATGACACGAGCTTCGGGGTTTGTGACCGGTAAGATAGCTGGCAGTAAGATTGAGTACTGGAACACGCGACGAGAGAAAGCGCGCACCCAGTTTGTCCTCGAAACTGGCGTTCACTGTACCCACCAGGATATCAGCCATCCACGCCGCCCGAGCATCCGTCACATCCTCCAACATGTTTGAGACCTTGTTATACCCGTCCCTCCTCTGTTGTCCTGATTCTTGCGCCAGCCGGTCCAACAACCGCAGAGCGCTGTGTTTGAAGGCATCAACGACTTTGTGAGGTGGCACCTCCTTGACGTTCTGAGGATACTGGATATCCCAGGGAATGAATGAATGCTCCGCATCGGGGGTATAGGGCACAAGCAGTCGGACGCGCGTCAGGCCGTGGAGGGTGAGCAAGAAGCCCGAGGATTGTCGGCTTTGTCGGGCGGACGGTCGCACGAGGCGCAGAATCCGGGCGGCAGTGCCGAATTCAGCCAAGGTCGGGGTGCTTGGGTCGTCTGAGGCTACTGGGACCGCTGCGACGACGGGGAGTGCATCAGATTCCTCGATGAGTCCGACCAAGGCTTCTCCGATGTCATTGGAAACGGGAATGGTTAGCCGGGAGCCCGGTAAGAGAATTGTCGGGTGGGGGAGAGGGAGTACGGGAAGCTTAGAGCCGCTAGCCATGAAGGAGAGGGATGCTTTGGAAGGTTCGAGGGAGACGTTAAGTATTAGGGTAGGAGAAGGCGATAGGACCGGAAACTCAATTGAATCCCAGGGTTTCACGTGAAACATGACAAACTCTACTCAACGTCTGACTGCATCCTTCTTCATCTCCGTCTTCTCCCTCTTCGCTTCCACATGGATGAGACGCCTCACCTTGTCTTGCGATGATGCGCACATAACTCCAATCGGCCGAAGATTTAAGGTGGGGTGATGGGTCCGCAGGTGATTGATTATTATGTCGGAAGGAGAAGTAAAGAAGTGCGTACACTATGTACGATATGTGCAATGTCCGTGTTTTCAACAGTCCTTATTCAACTTGCCCCATGTCAGCCACCAATCCTCTACCGCCTCTATGGCGTTATAGTTGAATTGCATGAGATAATCAGCCCAGACTGCCGCGACAACTTCGTCCTCGACCTCGCCGTTTCCGTTGGCAGAGCTCATCAGCGCTAGCTGTTTGTCTCGGGCGTCTCGAGCAGGTCCTGGACCGAATGTGCTTGCCGCTATCCCTGCCAACTCTGCAGCCTCAACAGCAAGACCCCGCTTGTGCCGAATCTGATGAAATGCACTCAGGAAAAACGGAATTTGGGTTTTGCATTTGATGTGCGAGAAAATGCGTCCAAGGGCGAATCCATCTTCGACCTGGGAAGGGTCAGCGTTGCATAGATCTCATCCATGCTGAAAATGCCCTACCGCCAAGGACCTCGAGAGAAGATCAGTCATAAATCAGTGCATTAAGCAGGTCACTCACGAATTGTGCGAACAGTGGATCTGATGAAGAAATGTTGAGATCGAAAGACCGAAGACTTTCCGATAGCGACGTACCGGGGTGGAATGCGCGGCGTCCCCAATTATTATCACCCGCGTGTTCGGGTCTGTGACTCGAGGAATCTTGGGGATTTGCTGGATTGTACGATGACACGTTGTGGCATATGACACAAGCCTTTTCAGTCTGTTCAACCAGTAAGCATTTCGAATCCGGCACGTGACGAGATTACCTGGCGTCCTGCAATCGAAAACTTTCCGCGTCTCTGTCATTCAGAATGAGAGGCTCGGGCCGCCAGTCCGAATCCGTGTCTTCTGTATGCAGACCGTTCGTCCATACAATTGAAACAACGAAGAGATCGGGACCGCACTGTGGTCATTGGTAATGTCTCGTGAGATGAATCATGAGACAACGTACTCGGTGACCGCTGACAAACAGATCTGTGCCCGGCCAGTAGGTGAACTGCAGAGCGTGTTATTCTGACGGACTGGTCGGAACTGCAAACATGTGCGCCGACCTCCGTCGAGTTCGCTATCTCCATAAGGTCTGGTTGGTCTTGAACGGCAGAGATATTGATGCAGCACGTTCCACTGTGGATGATGTCAATGAGCATACACACCAAATGCACAGAAAAAACGCTTACCCGACAATCTCGTGCAGATCGGGGGGAAGCGACAGTGTGCTTCCCTCGCTGCGGCAATCATCGAAATCCGATTCGTCTGCGCTGTCAGCGTCCAAGTTCAGTTCCAACAAAGCGTCCCTGACAATGCTGGCTCGTCCGTCAGCACCGACAAGCTGGCCAGGTAAGTTCGAGTGGTGGAAGGTCAAGAAATGGTCCCACAATATCCGCCTTGATAGATTCGCCTGTCGAAGTCACTACAGTGGGTTTGGCATTCCGACCGAGCCGAATCGCCACAATATCGGTCTGGAATCGTATCTGAGCGCCACTGGACTCGCAGAGATCACGTAGGAAGTTATACAACTTCTCATACTGCAGCAGAACCCGATCAGTTAGTCTCCTCGCCCTCGGAAAGTAAGGGAAACTGACAGGAACCATGTAGTAGTAACAGCCCAAGTCAGTCATCACTTCTTCAATGAGCTGTAGTCGACCGATAGTTTGCTGACTTTCGCCTGATTAATCGTCACCCATCTGAACCGGAAGTAGCAGGAGAAAAGAGAACAATTGATGAAGGTGATTCTGTTTCATATCAGCTCGAGGTTGACCTTAGCATTGGATGAGCTTACGCTGAACATCTCCAGCCATAAGCCTCCAGCAACTCTGGGCCTTGTGGCAGTGTTTTGAGCAGGCATGTCATGTTGGGTGGGACTCGCAGACCGCCTTCCATCTAATCGAACGGTGTCAAACAAAATTCAGAAGACGCCAGAGAAAGCACCCACCACCGCGTCCCGCTCCCGGCGCTCCAAGACCAAAACCCGATGTCCGGCCTGCCGCAGTGCATATGCTGCAGTAAGACCTGCAATGCTGCCTCCCACAATGACAAAATCAAAGGCGTCCATCGTTTCGTGAGGAAGTGGAAGAAAGAAAGGCGTGGCTAATAGCCATACAACATGCCGCAATCGAAAAAAATAAGCGCGCTGCAAGCATCTGGCAGCATGCGGCTTGGAAGGATGAAGCACCCACGGTGACGATCAAACGCGTCAAGCGACTACACGCGACCATGTTCTTGTGTGTGTGCACTGTCTTCTGTCGCCCATCGCTTGCGAACTCGGCTTCTGAGCCTCAAGTCTTTACCGACCAGCACCCCTTCAAGGGCTGAGCCTGCAGCGAGAGCCCTGGACAATCATGCAGAAGATGTATCCGCAACCCATTGAAGCGGAAGAATTGAGAGCTGTAGCCTCTCCAAAGCCAAAGGGGGCATTGAAAGGGCAGATAGGAAAGGATCATATTCGGCAGAAAGAGACGAGATGGCCTTCACAATAACAGGTTACTCGCCGCCGGTCTAGGCTCAATAGAGCTCCGATCCGCGGAAGCAATATCTTTCGAATCAAGTTTGCGCGTGAAACATATCCGATGTCGCTCTATTATGTAGTCACTGTAGTGCGAGCGATTCAGGATGTTTCGTATGACTCGGACAGTCCTGTTCAAAGCGGTTCAGAGCTTTCCGTGGGGAGAAAACACTATTACACCTGCTTGTTCTGTTACCCCACGATGGACACAGCGGGCTGTTGTGAGCAGTGAGCTTGACTAAAGCAGACCAGAGCATCAAAAATCATGGACTCTGACGCTGATCGGCTTCCCGGCAGTCACGGATATAATCTCCGTGTCGGCAAGTCACCCCAGTGCTCAGCAGTACTAAAACTGGCCTTGCAGACAGCAGTCATAAGCACGGCATATCCGACATATCTATCCTCCAGCAACCGTTGATGACACCCGGTGCATACCACGTGTAAACCGCTGTAACGCTTCCCCGTGTGCTGCGGTGTCTACGCTTCTCTACGCGGCTTGGACTCAGGCACCGTCTCTCTCTGTGCATGTCTGAATCGCTACGTGTCCGCTAATAAAATTAGCCAGGACTTTGGGGGGACTTGGCATGAGATTCTTCCGCATTCTTTCTCCTCCTTCAGAGGACTTGGCGACCTTGGTGTTACCCAAAATGAGGGTCACAAGTTACAACACTGTGAGCGTTGGTACAAAAAGCAACAAGGAAATTTGTGGGAAATTTTTGATTTAAGATCATTGATGCATGACGCAAGATCATTGATACATGATCTCCTTATCCAACGCCTGGCCTCCGCAAAGGGAAAGACCGGCATTGCTAGGAAATGATTGATTCGACCTTGCTCTGGAGCAAATACGGGCAATGATGCTGACCAGGAGCCGTAAACCCGCGCTCGTTCCCAATTCCATTATTTGGCGTCAATGGCGGTTGGCCCCGACTTAAGCGGGAGCGGAGATCCTTGCAGGGGACCCGAGAGGAATCGAGCTACATATGCCAACTACTATTCTTGTTAGCTGTCTGTTGGCCAATCCAACGTTATGATACAGGCATGGGCCATTCACAACCCAGATGTTGGCCCTTCTTGATCCTCGATTATGCCCCGCAGACCTGTTCGATAGCAGCAGCTTGTACATGATTTGCAAGGCGTACATGATTTGCAAGGCGATGTATAGCAGTGATCACGCGCAACATAGATTCTCGGTAGCTCTGGACTTTCGGCTAAAAGTGAACGTGACAACGAATCGAGGAGGAAGTTGGCATAGCATATCATTTTTGGCAGGCGGGAACATGTACCATACTTCAAAATAACGAGTGGGTGGAGGTGATTACCGGGGAGCAGCGCCCGGCACGTTCCGCCTCTCACGTCTGGGGCCACGCTCTGGCTGAGCGACCTGAGGCACAACAACGTTGACAGTGATGGAGTCGAAGTTGAGGGCTGAGAGGAGAGCCTGAAATAGCAGGCCCATGAGCAGATGGATGGAACGCATAGATCATATACGCGCACCTTGGTCTCAGGGTCCACCTCCAATCCGTTCACAGAGGTGTCGAGAGCAGAGACCTCGGGAACGTAGTTGTCCTTGCGTTCTCGCTCTTCTTCCTGCAGCTTGAAGGAGATGCCACGGACAGGACCCTTCTGAATGCGCTTCATCAAGTGGGTCGTGAACCCGGAAATTTTGTTGCGCAGACGCTTCGATGGGACAACAGCCTGAGGAGATCATGAGACAATGCGGCTGCGATCTCACGGCGTTGAAGACTGACGACTTCATCGATGATACGCTTGTTGGTGTGGAAGTCGAGGGTGAGTCGAGGGTAGCTAACAGAGCATGAGTCTTTGATTCTTGTTTTCGAAGGCGACAGACTATTTCTCAATGAGAACACGGGAAGCACGCTTGGTGGTCTTGGTTCGGACACGGCCCTAGAGCAAAATGAGTGGGTTATCGTGGGCAACGTCGGCATCTACGCACCATCTTGAGAGTGGTTTAGAGCGATTGAATCGTGGGCACGGCGCAAAAGGACGGTGAAATCACGTGGTAGTCGTGACTGAGCTGGGCAGTTCCAACGTGACACTCGATCGTTACCTGAAATTATTCAACTGCCGAATCCGTTTCTGCCTGTCTCGTCTTCCGCTTCCACGACAAGGTAACTGACCTCTCCAGCTTCACCAGAACTGGCCTTCGTCGCTTTCTCATGTATTATCCGACAGCCTGTTTGACTCGCGCTCTCCATAGCACGACACTCATTCCTGGGCTCTTCAACATAACGCTTGAAAAGTAGATAAAAATTTCAAAATGGTCCGCGTATCCGTTCTCGTGCGTCCGTCAGAGTCCAGCGTGTTTCCTTCCTGATCCACTATAGAACGACTGCCTGAACAACATCGTCAATGCCGAGCGCCGCGGCAAGCGCCAGGTCCTCATCCGACCATCCTCCAAGGTCGTGGTCAAATTCTTGTCGGTGATGCAGCGCCACGGTCAGTATCTTTCTTCAGCTCTCATTTTCCCTGTATCCCGGAGTGATAACTACGGTTGACGTGGTACCTTCCACCCGTTACTCGTTTTAACGCTCCGGAACATCGAACTCCAGAGTCCGGATACCAAACAGCCCTCACCTTGCTTTACACAGGGTGTAGGCTCACAGATGGACCCACATTCATATCTCCGCCTGCATTTCATACACACAGGAGCTGACCAGAGTCTGTGCAGGTTACATCGGCGAGTTCGAGATCATCGACGATCATCGCTCTGGCAAGATCGTGGTTCAGCTCAACGGCCGTCTCAATAAGACTGGTGTCATCTCCCCGCGTTTCAACGTCCAGGTGAACCAGATCGAGAACTGGGTCAACTTGCTGCTCCCTGCTCGTGGCTTCGGTATCATCATCCTCGTCAGTCTTTCTTTCCACTTCCACATGGTTTCCGATCGTTAATATTGTTGCTCCAGACCACCAGCAGCGGCATTCTCGATCACGAGGAGGCTCGTCGCAAGAACGTTGGTGGGAAGTTGCTTGGCTACGTCTACTAGAGTACATACACACTGTACTCGCTACAAAATATCTGCTGCCACGTGCAATGCCAGGTTGTACCTGCTGTAACTGAATTTACGTACACTAACTGGACAAAATGATTGACCGATCAAAAAATTGATCGGAATTGGGCCGTTGTGCCTCACTCCGGACATATCTCCTGAAGCAGTATTGGAATCAAATATAGCCCTAGACGTATAGAATAACCCTGGAAAATATCTATGTAGTCTGGGTATTATTCACAGGTGTATTGCGTACTGAATGTGTGATGCATCAGATCAGGAGCCAAACACACTGCCAAAACAAACAGTAACGCATCGTTTTTCTCGCTGTCCTCAAGAAATCTGATAGTTTCCTCTTGCCGCTACCTTGCACCGTCAATTTGCTATCCCCATGGCCCCTAACTTGAGTCCGACCAAGAAGGCGAAGATTGTAGAGTGGACACGGGATGGGAGGTCACACAAATGGATCCGTGAGCACTTGACTGGCCGCCATGATATTTCGGACTCCACCATCTACTGGATACAGCGGGATTACAGCGAGAAGGAGAACTATTATGATGTAGGACACTCCCCAGGGCGACCCCGGAAACTACAGGCCCGAGATATGCGAAAGGCAGTCCGTTCCCTTGGCAATCAGACCGTGACCAATGCGACAGAACTCAAGGACGCTTTCTTCCCGGATGTCAGCGTGAAGACCATCAAACGCAACCTGCGCATAGCAGGCCTCGAGGCCCATATTCGTCGCCCCATCCCGTTCATCTCAGCACTGAATTTGAAGCGTCGGAAAGAGTGGGGAGAGTCACATGTGCATTGGCAGGTGGAGGATTGGAAGCGTGTGCTGTTCTCAGATGAGTCGATATTCCGTCTTTTCGGGTCCGATGGGATAGAGTGGTGTTGGAGGAAGCCGAGTGAACGCTTGGACCCCCGGTTCACGAAGAAGCGGGTGAAGCATGGGGGAGGGAAGATCACGGTATGGGGCATGATCACACCACACGGATTGGGTCGACTCGTACGCATCGACGGAAACCTCAACAAGGAGTTGTACCGTGAAATACTCAAGGACGACCTCTTGGGTACCCTTGACGACCTCGACCTTGACCCGCGCGACTACATCTTCCAACAGGATAACGATCCTAAACACACGGCGCGGATTGTTACCACCTGGTTTGCCGAGAATCACATTGCTGTTCTCCCATGGCCGGCTTCCAGCCCCGACATGAATATCATCGAGCATGTGTGGAGTCACCTCGACAAGAAGGTTCGGAAGCGGAAGCCCCTACCTTCCAATGTCGAGCAGCTATGGACCGCTTTGCAGGAGGAGTGGGCACGCATTGATGAGGGGTATATTGAGAGTCTGTATGACTCTATGCCCAGACGGATTCGGGCACTCATCGCAGCAAAGGGAGGTAACACAAGCTACTAGTTTGTTTTGTATTTCTCCCAGTAGTCTTCGCACTACGAGCCATATTCTATGTTGCACAAGTCTACTGGGGATGCCAAAAAAGGCAATTTTTGTATTCATTGAGCGAAATCTTGAGATCACTAGCAATGAGGGCCTAGATACTTCACATGCACAAACTAGTCCTTCTGACACGCATTCGGCTCCCCAAGACCCTGGAGCCAAACGCGCTTCGTGAGGCACAACAGCCCAATTCCGATCAATTTTTTGATCGGTCAATCATTTTGTCCAGTTAGTGTACCTGGGCAACTACATCGCGGCCGAGAGTCAGACCAGGGCGGACCATGATCGACTGCTGTCGTCGTTTCAATCCGGATTCAGAGCACGTCATCGGCCGGGAGAGCGTATGGCTGGAGCGTCCGTCTCATGTGGGCCGTTTGCGGGCATGGCCGCAGGGTTGTTCAGCGATCACGTACACCACTACTGGAAAACTGGCATTTTGTCGCGCTCTGCGATTGACATCGACCAAGCCAGATTCGTGAACCCGACGTTCTGCCACTCGATTTCTGCGGCGCCTCGTCTGATGGGAGACCGCTGTACTCTGCACCATCTTTCGTATCCGTTGCAGAGCTTTCAATTGGCCGACTCCTTCGTTGAGTCAGAGCAACAGCTTGTCCGTGTTGCTCAATCTCAGTTCGCTGGGTGGTGTCGTGCTTTCCAAGCTTGCGATCGCGACAAAGTCACCGTCCGGTTCATGGCCGGCGACGCGCTCGCATTTTGCCACACGCTACTCGAGGGATCTACAGCAAACTACGCGGTCAACGGTTGGAAGTCAGTGACGATGAAATTGGATTCCGGCGATGTTGCTTTCCCGACCGTTTTCGATGTGATTGACACCCCGAATGTGTCTGACCACGTGGGCCTGCTCAACCTCCTCGTTGCTGCCGCGCCGCTTCTTCGTCGCAAGTCGTTTGCACGATTGAATACGGAGTTGGTCTGCTTGAGCCGAGACGGAGGAAACAATCTGCCGAGTCTTCTGTGCAGCGACGTTCCGACTGCGTCTCTCTTACTGGGATTATATCCCAGTCCGGTCGATGCCGCTCTTGCCGCTCAATCCACAACTCTTCTCGTCGAAGAACCTGTGCAATATGTCTGGCGTATCACGTGGAAGCCCGCCGGTTGCGGAATGGTTCCCCAGTTTCCAGACGCCAATGCGCTGGCCGCAGTGCTCTTTCAGATCTACAAGCAGATGTTCGGGGATGAGGCTGATTTGACACGCTCCGAGGTACATTACCACAGGCCGTCCTTTGCTGCTCTTCTCCGTTTGGCCAAATCGCGAGTACGGGCAGACTGGGACGCTGTCTTCGGCTCGATATTTGATCGCCTTCAATCTGACCGGACGCTGTTGATGGGATCGAACAACTACCAAGAGTTGTGTTGTCAGCTTCATCTCCATGGTATATATACCGTCGACATCCTCCGCGATCCGCTGCCTGCCAGAGATTACAAGCGCATTTTCAAGGATTGGAGAGAGGTGCCCCCCGTAGTCTGTGTGACTCTGGTCGTGCCTCGTCAGAACATCCGGCACCTGGAGGAGCGCAGTGCGGGACAGCAGCTGGGCACTCCTCGCCTGCAACTGGAAATCCGTGGCGCATCCTTCCACAACATCTTTTCTGCGATACAACTGGCGTTCGGACGGGTGCAGGCTCAAGGGTCTGGCGAGGATCGCACGATAACGATCGACGAGGACGGTCGTGGATGGAATGGCTCATCTTCGCTCATTGTGTGGGCCATCCTTCCTGCATTCAATCTCGTCCATGGTGAGACGCCAACACGCGTATCGCTCGATCTCCATTCTACGCCCGAGACAGCGATATGGGCTGGGTTCAGTGGCCTGGCGCTCTTTTCCGCTGTTGTCACCAGTCAATATTTGTATGTCACGCAGAACCGACCCAACCAGAACGGCCCACTACCTCTAGGAACAGTCGCGGCTTCATATGAGGGAAGCAGCTCAGTATCATGCAACGTGTCCGATACCCAAATCCGCTCTATGGCTCTGCGGTGGTCCCCGAATGACACGATTGCATTGGCAGATGCTGAGGTCCAGCACTCGCAGCATTCTTCGCGGTCGGTACTAGTCACGATTGATGATTCAGTCTCGCACGAACTCGAATACCCCTACCCCATCGACGCCGCGAGGCTAAAAGCTCGCATCGCACGCAAGTCTGGGTGGATCGAGGTTCGTTCTAACACAGGTTGTCGTCACCTGATCTCATCTTCGTCCGCAGGTTGAGGCATCTGTGCGCAAATGGGAGCCCTCGCCTTTGCAACTGAAATGGCGATCCACCTTGAATGATTGTGCCGAGTTTCTCCCCCGCGTGAATTGCGATCTCTCTCCCACAGCTGACCCGACTCGGATCGACTGTCTGAACCGCATCTTCGCATTTCAGCATCTGCTCATGATGTCTCCCAGAGAACGACGGGCGGGAAACGACGATGAGATGCGGAAGATCAAGAGTCCTCTAGCCAAAATACTGTCCCAAATCGATCCCGCCAAGCCAAAGCATGTGTTTGGTTTGGTCACGGCCGAGACGCAGGCGCCCGAGACATTGATCATCGTGCAAACCTTGCGTCTTGACCTGGGCTCGGACAGCGTTTTCGCGGATTGCGGCATCTTACCAGTCACGCGGGGGCTCACAGAGAGCCCTCTCGCCTCAAAGATCGATGCGCTTTCCAAGTTGGCGACCAAAGTGATCATCGACCGCACGACTTGGAGGCATTTGCTTGTCGCTTTCACCGAGCGCTGCCGCGACTGGTTCCACAAACCCGATTGTCTCTATGCGTTGGCAGGGAAAGCGCCGCTGTCTCTGGAAGCTGGTCAGAATTGGCTATGTTCATGCGGCTCGGGCGTCGGCATTTACTCTCAAGATCCGGACCTGGCTGGCCTGATGACTCGTGCCGCGATCGCACCCATCTTCGCAGTCCCGTATTGGGAGCGGGTCACTTCGTTCGCTGAGCTCAAGGCGCTGTATGAGGCTGTGATCCGTTGTGCGGCCTGTCAGAAATCTGGAGGAGCTTTGTTGACATGCAGCTCTTGCAAGAAAGTGCAGTATTGTAGCCGAGATTGTCAGAAAGCGCATTGGAAAGTGCACAAGAAACAATGCATGTAGTTAGGTCGTGTAGTTCAGCTCCCAGTGGTTACGAACGAATTCATTTGGTGACGAAACAAGCCACTCGTTCGAACGTATCACAGCGATTGGATGCCGAGTTTGCAGTGCGTAGAATTGCAATCGTCTGGAGAGAGACAGGAGCTGATCAGGCTAACATTGTTGTCACGTGGGCGCGTTGGCTGAGTCGGGATTGCAGTCCGTCCATTGCATGACACAAAAATTACAAGATAATGAGTTGACCATAACAAAGCCGTCGAGCTTCAACCCACTTTCTTTTTTTTCTTTCCGCCCGGCTTGGAAGAAGGCGTCTGGCCAATTTCGATCGAGCCCCCAGCGGCTTCACCTACCACACCGTCTCCTTCTTCAATCTTTGTCTTCGCTTCGAGGAAAAACATGACGTCGCGTAGCTGGTCTTCGAGGTCCTGGACCTTGGCTTGATATTTTTCCTTCTCGATCTCTGCCTGATCCTGGCGTTCCTTGGCCTTCCCCATATTCTTCATCATGCCCTCGCTGACAGCTCTTTCGGCACCCAGCTCCTTCTGCAGAGTGCGAGCGAGTTCCGAGAGTTTTTCGACCCTGCTCTCGGCTTTTGTTTTGTCCTTGGCAATCGAAGCGACGCGGGCTTCCTCATTCCGTCTCATTTCCTCCATCTCCTCCTTGACGACCAATCTCTCCTGCTCGTATTCGGCACTCACACGCTCCAAGATCGCACGCAGCTCCCCAATCTGACTCGCCAGCTCGCCGGTCTGTTCTTCGTAATAGGCGCGTTGCGAGTCCAGTTGGGAGGTCAGCAAATACGAATACTCGATTCCGATTGCCTCTATCTTCTCCGCAGTGAGGGCGTCTGAGCTGGACGGACCGAGGCTGCCGTCTCTGGGATTGGGAGCACCCATCGAACTCGACGCGCTCGGCAGCTCAACGAGTTTTCCGTCAGCCTTATTTTGTATGAGACGATGAACATATCCGTCCCCGGCATAGTCCCAGACTCGCTGCGTCTCCAGCTCCAGCGCATACAGATGCGTCGTGGCCTGGTAGTGTGCTTGCGCATGCGCTCTTCCGTATCGTCCGCATCCAACGTTGCCACAAACGAGACATATCCAGAGATTTGTGGTGGATTCGCACACGGAGCAACTGGTCATTTGGGGAGCAGAGGGGTTCACGAAAGGGATGGTCCTCGTCGAAGAAGCCGCACTCGGGTGCGACGCGATGAGAGTCTGAGAGTACCGGCAGACCGGACATCGGCTGTCGCCCCACTTGCTGAGGCACATGCAGTGGAAGGTGTGGGAACATGGCACGGTGATCAGTCCAGTGACCCCCGAGTCCATTCGCTCCAGACAGACGGGGCAAGTGGGCAGCTCGTACAACGAGTTCGAGGCCATCATGCGCGTCAACGCCGGGTCGTCCGCATCCATATTCACTGAGAGCACTCTGACGACGTGACAGATTTCCGGCTGCGCAGTAATCAGCGCGTACTTTCCAGTCAATCACACCCTGCGACGTACTTCCATTGAATTGAAGGGCTTCCCATTATACGCCTCGGCAAACTCAGATGCTGCTTCAGCAGTTCTGAATTTGATAACGACAATGGAGCGATTGGGAGCCGAATCCCTGTACTCGAGTCAAGCGTTGAGAATGAAAGAATGTGGAGGGACGCCCACCGAATGATTCTCAAATGTGTGATACCTTCCGAAACAGGACCGACGAACGCTAGAAAGTCTGAGGGAGCCATCCACGAAGGCACAGCAAGCACCCCAAGCATCGTTCCGTCAAACTCGGGCAGATCGTACTGGATAGAAGTGGACGAGGAGGCTTTGGGTTCCTTCTCCGATAATGTTCCTTCGCGGAACAGATGTACTGTACCCTCGGGCAGATTCGTAGAGCCAGATTGGGGGGCCTCTTGTGGAATGAAGACGGCTGCAGCCGGCTCTGGACAATCTCAGAACGCAAGAAACGACTCACCAGCCACTTCTACTCACCACGACCATTATCGCGGGCTTTCCCTAGTTTATCACTCATCTCACAGTCAATCCAGTCGATGCGTATTGGCCCGAATCTGTAGTCTTTATTGCGGGAGTTGAAAAGCGCGTTGCGGCGACTGGTCGGTTTGGGCGTTTGTACAGGTAGTTGGGCAAAGATGGACCCCGGTGTGAACGGTTCGGAGAAATTTCCACCCTTGAGTTGAACGGATATGCGTATGTGATAACCTCTCATTTCAATTAGGGTACATCGCGTATACAGAGATGAGAGGCCAGGAAGACTGATGTTGTGGCGATGACCGAGGGTGATGCATGACTGTAGAGTCTGCAGAACGTGCGGCTCAGTGTTGACAAGACCCGGGGTCTAGACCCAAGGTCCAGGGTCTTGGGTCTTCCAACACTGTGTAGACCCGACCAAGACCTCAGGTCTAGTGAGGTCTAGCTAGTGTGTACATGTTTGGATGATTTCTTAATTAGGACAAACTTGATGATATTCAAACACTGGGTGACTTTCCGTAAGCGTTTTTGCATAAATCAAGGCTACATAAACGCATTTGCCGAGATGCCGGGGCGCTGATCAAGACCCCAGCGTGTCAAACTCTCGCTTGAGCCCTTTCCTAGACTACGAATGGATAGCTATCTGTGTAAGGCCTCGCGACCCCCTACACAGACATAAAACAGCTTCAAAAACCGAAAGAGGAAGGTGTCCATCACACCTTTGACGTCAGGCCCGTGCTAAGTCCGCTGGGTTCCCACCGTCACTCCTCTGCACTCATCGGACACAACCTCGTACGACTTCTCTCCCGCCTTATTTCTTTGACTGCCACGGCGCGTCTCGTTGTCGATGAAATTCGCCACAACATATCCTGATTGCCGAAGCCAAAGCCTCCGTTTATATGAGCCCCTGTGAGTCGTGCCTTGCCTTCATGGCTACACGCGCATGGGATGCTCAAGCGCTCATATACAGCTTCGAGACCGGCTGTTTTTGGCTGACCAGTCATATGGACAAGGCACGAAGGGATGGGGGATAAAAGGATGACGAGGAACTCGCAGAAGGAACGAAACCTCTCAGATCATGTCTCAAGACAATCGGGGTGTTCCTCTCATGCCTACTGACCATCCGGGTTATATGCGTGACGCCCAAGGCTTTCTTTACATTCAACGTGAGGATAGACAATGGATTCCGTGCAATCCGGTACGTTTTCTGGCTCTTTTCCGATTGTTTACATCGAGCTGATGGATCCAAAGCCTCCAAATGCTCATGCAACTCCGGCTCGACCCTCCAATTTTCTACCTCCGCCTCCCAGTCCCAGTCCACCTCCTGTATGTCCTTTTCACCTACAAAAGTCGATGCTGAAGCTATGAAACAGCTGCAGCAGCTTCAATTCACATTGAATCCGATTGCCACGCCGACTTCGACTCCATCAAACCCGGCTCCGCCGATTCCTCCAACTCTTGTGTCCAAAGTCCCTGCCTCCAACGCCTCCATGCGCAGGCCAAAGCCGCAGGCTACAGAGAAGAAGTTGACCACCACCAAGTCAACGGGATCAAAGAAGCGCACATACAAGTCAGATGAATCTGACAACGACAACTCGAAGTCTGCGGCTAAGCGCAAATCCAGTGGACGGACGAACGGGTCGGGAAACTACGCAAACGACCATGTTATGGGGATGCTCAATGTGGTGGAGGATGTAGAGCCCGCAGGAGGGAATGGATGGAAGGAGGTGGCGAGGCTATATAACATCCGTGCAGAGGAGGAGGGTTGGCCGACACGAACCCAAGAGTCATTGCAGAGGAAGTACAAGTCGGTGCGTAGCTAGTTTTCTCACTGCTGTTGCTCGTTGACACATTTTCCTAGTTCTTGACGATGAAGAAGCCCACCGGAAGCGGCGAACGTCCCCCTCATGTCACCCGCGCTCTCCAGATCGAGGAGAACATCATCAAGAAGGCCGGCATCGTCGAGATCAGCGACACTGATAACTCGTCAGATACGGACGTGGATGTGAAGCCGGTAAAGAAGCGCACCGCCGTTGCAACTCGTGCTCCATCCCCTGCCCGCCGCCGATCTCGCGTGAACCCCAATGAGGTCATGGGCAATGTTGCCCGTGCGTTTGACCCGGAGGCAATGGAGCGGCGCGAGTCTGCACAGACCCAACGCATGCACGAGAGCGCACAGCTCTTTGCGGCATCACAGCAGACTCGGGACCTCCAGAGGGAGGTCGCTGCTCTCCATCGACGGATTGAGCAGCTGCAGGAGCGTTTGCATGAGGCTCAGCGTGAACGCGACATGGCCAAACTCCGCCTCGAGTTCATCCAGCCTCCTCGCAGCCATGCCAATTCCAGCCCGTACATGCCGCCGCAGATCACAGACAATGACTACGAGTTCGACTGGGGTCGCTCTTCTCCCTCCGTTTCCCACCATCGCAATGCAATCGCTGGCCCGTCGCATCCTCAACGCTTTCCCTCCGAACTTCAGACTTCGACAGTTGTTGCCGATGCTGCTGAGGTCACTGTCTCGCAGCCAGATGGGAGCGCTTTGACAGTCACCATCAGCCCGAGCAAGGGCAAGGGCAAGCAGAAGGCTACGGAGGACAATGAGGAGCAGTAGGGTCGACTGTTACATCCATATACCCCTTTCTCAGACAAGCTCTAGTCGTTCCTTTACAACATCTCTTATCTTTTTTTACAATCCAACTTGTGTCGCTCGTTAATACAATTCATGCTCTATACATCTTCATAAACAGGAAAGTTATGGAATCTAGCAACACGATCATTCCTCCGCTGTTCTGAGAACATCACATCTCCAAAATCCGACCATAGTCTTGCATCCTCCACGGCCTCCGTCCAAACTGGCATGTAGACTGACCGAATTTGGTTGTGTCCAACGCGCTCCGCACGTAAATTATGCAGTCGAAGACAAACCTCGATGAGGTTTGCGCGCGCCTTGGTGTTGTTGATATCCAGAGGGACACGGAGACGTCCAAATGAGCCCTGTACTGTTCGCATTCCCCATTCAGCTGTCTGGCGATATGAGAGCAGTTCTCGATCAAATGCGAGTTTCTCTTCAATCTCTGCTTGTGTCCCGTTTATGCGCTGCCCAGTCTTAATGGGAGCACAGATCCTGCCGTCAATTTGCGCGTTACCGCGCGGGAATGCTGTGTCAGCCACCAGGTAGAAGCCATCGGGAGTCCGAGTGAGAAGCTTGTCATAAATAGGCCTTGCAACACGCGAGTCGTGCCAGCTGCCAGGTGCGTTCAATCTCACAGCGATGACTTTACCTAATGGGATCAAAGACATGGAATTAGTGAGGGACTAGATTGGACAGCAAAATGCACAAACCATCAGGTGCAAAGACAAGGATATTACTCACGCAGTGGTCAGAAAGCCATCCATTGTAAGTGGCATTCTCGATCTCTGCATCCGCCGAAGTCTGAACTGGTAGATTCAACCCATCAATGCTCGCAAACGCTCCCGTAAGTCGAGGGTGTCGGACAATGATGAGGGCATTGTACGCAACAAATTCCTCCTGCGTGCACGGCCACCTGATTTGGCATTCAGGGATTTTCCTTAACGCAACATGGAGGATGTTGAGGCTGAAGGTGATGTAGCGGGAAACAGTGGAGGGGATGATGGCAAAAATCTGCTGTAGGCTGATCTCATGCATGGTCGAGCTGAGGTAGTGGAGGACAAGACCCAGGGCGCCGTTGGCGTCAAGTGATCGTGCTCCTGGTCGAGAGTCCCCGGCTGCATCAGTGTCCGTTCGGGGGATGGGGGTGCTGTACCATGTAGAGGCAAAACCGGACTCAATGATGTACACAAACGTGTCGACGTCGACACCCATTGTTGTGATAAATGCCCGATTGTTTCTGCTGTCGTACAGGATCTGCCACGGTGTAGCAACACGCGGATTAGGGAGTAATTGGGGGCGCGTCAGGTAAAGACGGCTTGGATTCCTCTGCTCTGCTCGGAGCCGTCGTCCCTCCGCATAACTCGCGCTGATCACACCAAGCGCTGCCCGCAACCTTCCCTCTTCCTCCTCCCGGTATATCTCCTCTGAGAGCTCCATTAGCCTGCGCTGAAACTCGGCATCGCCCTCGTCGTCATCCTCACTGGGACTGTTGTTATCGAGGTCGTCGTACGTGCCGTAGTCGTCGTTATTGTCGTGGTGCATGAAGAGGTCAAATGATGTGATCGGTCATTCGGTTCTGAGAGCCGGAATAGACAGATGTCAACTTGTAAAGGCCGAAAATGATAAAATGTGTTGCGGATAAAGCTTTTGACATAAACATATCCCGTAACGGTAAGCGAGATCATTTGGCACCGTGATATGGGATATGTATATGCATCTATGTTACGGAAAGTCACCCAATGTTTTTCTCATGCTCTGCACATAGTGCGGCCTGCTTGAGCTTACACAAGCTCCCCAAGGCAGCGCGCCTCGCATTTCATCTTGTTTGTCTTGAACATGGTGCCTTTTTCAAAGGTGGCCCAGGACCAGCCCTCAACTCTACGATGAGTCCCAGGTGTCCCTTGCAACATGAGTGGTTTTGACTTGCACATTGCTGGGCGTGAGCAAAAATGATTCTTCCATGACGAAGCTGCCCAATTGGGACAAGACCCCAGTAGACCTTGCCAAAAATTGTCAACGGGTAGACCCGACCAAGACCCGACCCAAGACCCCGGGGTCTAGGTCTAGTACAAGACCCGACCCCGTCAACACTGGTGCGGCTCACACAATGACTAGAACGTTGACACAACTATCTCGGTCAGCTACTTTCTTTATGCTGCATGCAACACACCTGATGGAAAATCGAGGCCCAACTGGAACCTCGGCATTCTCTCGAAGCCTTTCTCGCCGAACTCTCTCAAGGCTATCCGTCAAGCTCTTTTGGCTGGATCTCTGGGGCTCGAACCGCCGCCCAGCTTGGACAGGTGCAAGAGCGCACCCACTCGTCCCTCCAGTCCTTGACGGTCAACAGTCTGAATAAGAGGAAGAATGCAGCTATCCTCATCCCCTTCTGTAATGTGCGCGAAACCCCTGGCATTCTCCTCCAAGTACGATCACGCTCCATGCGATCTCATTCGGGCGAAGTGAGGTAGGTTATCGACCAGGCAGCTATATCCAGACGAAAATCGTGCATTCTAGCTGTCCTGGAGGCAAAGTCGATGAGTTGTTGGATGCCAGCTTGTTGGGTACGGCTTTACGAGAAACGGAAGAAGAACTTGGGATTGGTCGGAAGAGAATCGAGTTCCTGGGCTCTCTGGGACCTCCCGAATCAAGTTTGCGCGGTGATACTGTTTGGCCCTTTGTGGTGAACCCGATTCAAGTTTTCCGGGCTCGGAGTTTACATCGTACAGGGCTTCATTCACGCGCAACCGTTTCAGAAATCTTCTGACGACGAACTGCCTCTTCCTTCCATAAAAACCCAGGATCTAGAGCATACTCTCTCTGCTGAGGAGGTGGAGGCAGTTTTCCATCTCCCCTTGGCGGAATTAGCGAACCCTGTTCGACTGCATTCATACCTTTTCCGCAACAGAGACCCATATTGGGCGGTGGATGTTACAGATCTGGTGACAGATGCTGTGGGTATCCCGTTCACCAATCAATCGATAGAGCAATCGCCACATCAATCAGACGTCGATAGACCAGATAGACTGGAAGTGTGGGGCTTGACTGGATGGTATCTGCACCTGCTCGCATCCGCTCTTTCTTCCTTGAACACGCCCAAGTTGTAGTAGATCCAATCAGCCTTTTGTATCTCAGTCTCTACGTAGAAGCGTCGGCTGCTGCCACTAAACGCTGGCGAAGTTTGGGCAAGCCGTGCTCGACCCGCATTGGAGTGATGTCTGCCCTGTCAGCGAGCTCTTTCTTTCGAGCCGCCGGCAATCTGAGTTTCTTTGGTGTCTTGCTCTTTGATCGTCTCGACTCCCAGATGAGATACAGAACTCCTTCAGAGATGGCAACGACAATGGCGACTGACAAGGCGAACAAGACTTGCTATCATACCGTAAGAAAAACACGCGCAACAAGCATAGAGGCCGACATACCCATTCGCTCTTCCAACCTGTCCTCCCTGCTGCCCACCATCCCGCGAAACCAGACCCAATTATACTGAGCAGCGCATTCAGAAGTGCTGTGATAGCTTGTCTTTCAGACCTCTTCGCGAAAGCGGCCTCCTCCGGGCTTGGAGCAGGTGTGAACGGCGGAAGGTTCCGCTCCGGAGAGGTCATTGTTCCGGCCAAGAGCGCGGTCATCGTATATGATTGGGGGTGCAAAGACGCAGACTCTAGTGCGTCGACCCCGCTCTCAGACCTGCACCACTGAGATACGAGCAATAGCAAATCATAAGGGACTGTGGGCGGAGGCGTTTCAGAAACATAAGGAGCCAGCTGAGACGCTGTTTCCGCAGGGACTAAAGGAAAGATGGGCAGCAGACGGTCGATCAAGTGGGGCTCGAGAGAGATGTTCAGGGTAGACATGACAGAGAGATGGACAGGGATGAGTCACAGATGGACACTGGCGAACGTACGTGCACTGGTGGCTCCGTCGTGTCTGTCAGCACAGGCGACAACGACGTCCGTGTTCAAGTTAGTAGTAGATGCGATCAAATGTCAAGCCCTGATCAAGATTGGCAAAGCTTTTGACTCGAAATACGATGTCTATTCGCTCCGTCCAGTTCACCCTCTTATACTACGCTCCCTCATAGATGGCCGACTTTATCCTTCCATTTACACTCGCATGCGCCAGCTTCGATATCAACTCTCCGACCAGTGTGGCTTCTCTGACATTTGCGCTCGGTCCGATTACGCAGACATTGGCTCAGAGCAAGATCCAGAGGTGCTCAAGGACTAGCTAGTCAACTGACTTTTCTTATGTCCTCCAGGGAACAAGCCGGCGAAGGCGACGCGATATGGCCCCACTTTCACAAAATCTGGCGGGATCTAAGCCGAGCTCAGATGACTTTTTGGGACAACGGAGACTCGGAAGACGAATCAGAGGCTCGCAGCACTGAGAAGGAGAAACAGAACAGTATGAAGAAACTATGCGTGAATTTTGCACGATTCACGCGGAATCTCGTCGCAGAGGTTCACAGAAATCAGAAGAAAGCATTGTAGGTTTTCGCCTTATATCGAAAGGCCAATGAATCATTGTCCACAGTCAAAGCGAGCCCGCCATACGACGACTACTCCACTATTATACATCTTGGTCGTCTATGAAAGACGGGGAAGGTGCATTCCGCCTGCACAGCTTGCGTTTCTCCGCTCACGAGCGATCTAGCTATCGCTGTTGCCAGAGTGTTATCGCAAGTTTTGGTAAATCTTGTGACTGGGAACGATGTTCTGATTTCAAAGCTTTGGAACACATATATGTGTCTGCCGGAGGATCAGGTCGTTCTAATGTATGTCCAGACACTACCTCGTTCTTGTTCTTACCACCAATCAGACGACTTCTTGGATCCAAAGACTCCGTCATCGTCGTTTCTGCCTTGATCTTCATTCTCAACTGCATAGCTGCAAGCCGGACACGAACGTATGTCAGGCGATCTGTTGCTAGACGCGTTCTCAGCAGCTCCTAGTAAGATTCTCACAAGAAGCGCGATCGGTGTCCGGGTCTGTGTGTCTCTGCTGGACGATATGGTGCATTTCTTTGACGCAGAGGACAACACGGATGGCGCACGCGCCTTTGATATCGGGTAAGCACAGGTCTGAACGACCATGAGGTAAAACCGACTCGTTCGAAGATACGAGATTTTCTCCCGGATAATGGCGGCAGACCTTGTCCCGAGCCTTTTCTGTCGTCTGGCAATGTGCGTGCCGGAGAACTCCGTCGTGCGACTCTCTGACGAGATCCAGTCCCGAAGAAATTATTACACCTCATCAGACTACCCTGCTGAAGCTGGTGGACTCTTACCTGCAGGCTGCGAGATTGTCTGTGGCACCGACGACTCCTTCAGGCACTCCTTTGTACTGCAAACTCCGGCCCATGCTCTCCAAGTCATTCTTTTCCCTGTCCCATTATGCTATTCAGTCTATACGCAACTCTCTCGGACCAGCCGAAGAATCGGATGAGCCGGGAATTGAATTCAAGCCACCATCGTCTCTAGATGTCATGTTGCCCAAAGTTTGCGAAGCTCTGGTGCTCGTTACACAGTGCATAGTCACGCTCACGCTCGAGTCATCGCAGTCGGCGGATTTCGATGTGAACTCGCAAGCATTCTTCAATGAAGCCAGGTCCAACGATCAGGGATTGATGGAAATCCTCGTGGGTCAGTCACCGCACTTTCGAACTGCACAGACTTTTTGACTCGCATCAGAACTGCTCCGGCTTCTGGACGCGTTCCTCCCACGCATCAATTTCGGCAAACCTGTGCAAAGCGGATTGCCGATGTCTGCACCGCCGCCCGAGGGCACAGGATTCAACTACCTAAAAAGGGATCTGGTGCGCCTTCTTGGAATTCTATGTCATGAAACCAAGGCAGTGCAAGACCGTGCACGTCTCTGTGGTGGTATAGAAGTCGTCATGAATCTGTGTGTGGTTGATGAGAGGAACCCATGTGCGTTTCCCCGCTTCTGCTGAACTCTTGTCCTCGTCGCCGACACTGCCTAGATCTGCGAGAGCATGCGATATTCACTCTGCACAATCTCCTCGACGGCAATCCTGCCAACCAAGCTGTGGTTGATTCGATCAGACCTTCCGGAAACTGGGATGACAGGGGCGTTCTGCAGGAAACAGTCGGGGCTGTACGCAAGTAACGGCGTAGACAAACAAGATATGTATATTAACGCACTGCTCTCAATCGTCAATCGTCCTCGTCTTCCTCTTCAATGTGCAACTTTCGTCGTGTCCCGCCTGTCCTGCCTAGCGGACGAACACTATGCTCATCTGCATCCTCTTCCTCCTCGCTCTCAACGTCCACGTCCTTTGAGTCTCGCCGCCGCTTCGCATATGACCCCTCAATCTGAGCATCCATACGCTCCAGCTCGTCGTCATCATTATGCTTGCGTTTTCCTCCTCCGCCGGCCGAGCCTTCCTCGTCGCTGTCGCCGACAACAAAGTCGTCATGCTGATAATCTGCTTCCTGTTCTTTCCTACTGTCCTCAGCGGGTCGCGCGCGGTGCTTCTGCCGGCGAACAGCGTCATCGTCATCGTCGGACCCAGTCATCTGGCCTTCGTCCTCGTCGCTCCACACAGAAGCACTGCGCGACTTGCGCGACTGCCGGCGCCGACCGCCCTCTCCCTCAGATCTCTTCTTCTTCGAGTTCTTCGCGCTCTGCTTCAACAGTTCATTCTTCTCCTTTTCAGGGTCCACCGTCGGGTCTGGTGCCATCCGCAAGCGTGCCACTTTGCTGTGTTTCTGTCCCACAGCACGGACGAGCATGCGATGCGTCTCCGATTGCATGCTTGTTGGCCGCAGCGACATGTAGCCGGTGACCAGGGCCTCGGCTTGTAGCACTTGCGATCGTTTGTGCTGCGCCACGATGTAGGTCAGGCCTTCAGACTTGGCAGATTGCTGGCTCTGTTGCGAGCTTCCGAATGCTTTGCCGCTGGACGAGTCAACGCTTTTGGTGATGTCGAAATATTCACTCCCCAAACGCAGACTTTGGGTTCCGTCCGACCAAGAGATGATGCGTGCGTTGGCTTGCTTTTTCTGAGCAGGATATACGTCTGATGTTTTTGAGAGAACAGAATGAGCACTCACATCGCGACCTTGAGCGTCCTTCGTCCATTTCCACCGCACCGTATTCTCCACCCTGAGCTTGATAGACATGCTCTTTTCACGCAGATTCTCTGTGGAGTTCCCGTCATCCTCTTCTTGTTCTGGTCCCATGTAGGTATCAGGATGGAACGGTTTAGGATCGAGTTTCATGAAGTTGGGCATGCGCATCACCCAATTCTGTTAAACTTTGATTAAGTATGGTAGTAGAGCGGAAGAACGGAGCAGTGCGCTCACCTCGCCGCTGGAGGTTTTAGGGACAGGGATGTTAGGGAACTCAACGTAGGCTTCGCGGACTTCAATGGCATCTTCAGGTGGTGCGTCGTCCTCTTCGTATTCCTGGGCCCTTCGCCTCTCACGCTCCGGCGTAGGTAGATTCTCATACGACTCTGCACCAGAAACTGGTCTGCCACGACCTCAGAACCGGACGATTGTGTTCTCGGAAAGAGGCGGCACATACTCATTATCCTCAGCTTCGTCGTTTCCGAACAGGTCATCCGCCATCTCCTCATCCTGTTCTGGTTCACGGTGCTCGTTTTGTGATTGAGTATTCGCACTCCAGGTTTGTTCTAGTGCTCCCGCCAACGACGACATGATCGCGCGAACAGAGTAGCGGTGTCACATGATGGTGCAGGTTCTGATGGAATCATTGTGATTTTGTCACATCATTGGAATGTTCTTTGTAGAAGGTCACAGGGCGCTGAAACAAATATCGTCCACGACGTGCCTTGTGCCTGCTACAGCATCATCGATGTTTCCCGTATATTCCATTCCCGCCCCCCGACGCAGGGGGCTGTGGCAACGAGGCGCACTTCTCCCTTGGAATCTGTTCCGCCTTGCTGTATCTGAGGCTGGACAGTTCAATCGTTGCTAGTGCTCGACCTTCATTGTTGCGAGCTGTCGCAGCTGCGGCGCACTTGGTCTTGGGTTGGCTTCTCAAGAGTCAAGACTGGGTGATTCCAACCTGCCTTTTGTCCCCGCAAATCGCTGTGCTCCTGCTCATGGACTCTCGCCGTCTTCAATGGGCTACGGCTACAACGGGCCGCATAGTTCCTTATGTTGCCATCAAATCAAGATGTTGATCAGTCTTCCGCCGAAGCTCCATCGACAGGCCATGAGATCGACTAGGCTGTGTGCGCATCTGTGTCGCGCGTCTGAGGGCGCGTCGCTAGAATTCCGGTCGGAAGGTACGGGCGATGCAGTGAGTGTCCACCTCTATATAATGCGCCCTCGTTCATCGTCTGCTGCAGTGATACCGGCGCCCCCCTCCATCTAGCCCGACTCAGCAGGGAACTTGCCCCAACTGAATCGTGTTCACAAGGCATCTCGCAAACTTTGCTATATGTCGGGCGATCCATACAACTTCGTTCGTTTTCTCCCTCTCAGCTCGCATAAGTCTCTGATCGACGTGTTAGCCTCACGGATATCGGTACGAGGAGCGACAACACGACGGGTTGTCCCCATCGGAAGACCAACTTTATGCGACTCTCGAGGCACAGCTGTCGCCGTATTCCTCTGGGTACTATGCAGCCTATCAGAATCACGCTTGGCCTGTGGCCGACGAGTACGATATCCAAATCGACACAAGTGCCGTTGGGCCCTACTCGGGAATCTTGAATGCCGACGTCACACCAGCCCAGAGCTCATACACCCCATCTCAGCAACAGCAATGGCCGCACACTACCCGTCGGCCATCGGGAAACACGGCGGATGGGTTCTCCGGTTCAGATTACTTGCACCATCCTGGATTTGGCTTCGATGATCTGTACTCTTCTGGGCAACGTGGACAACCAATGATTCCACACCAGTTTTCTGAATTCAGCAATGCTTCCCCGCCGATTCCAACCGAGTCGCTGCTATCTGCGAACGGCTATGGATCCTCACAGATGTCTCCACATTCGACACCACCACTTTTATACCAGCAAAGTCCTCCGACATCCCCTAGTGGCAGCCAGACTTTCAGTCATGCTGGGTCGTCCAGTCCATCTCCCTCCGAGCAATACCAGGTACACATTAGACTCCGCGCTTTGATCTCGTCTCCTGATCATCTTTTAGGGCGAAGGGCTGCTGTACACTCACAAGGACCAGCTGCGTTTCTTCAAGGAAGCTCTCTCGCTACCTGCGCACGGAGTCACTGGACCATTTGTTCCCCAGCTCATGTACAAGCCACACACGAACAGCGATCGTCGACGCTACGTGGAGGAAATTGGCATGGAGGCGCCCATCCACTTCTGGGTCGACAATCCTTCGGAATGTGGAATCCCCTTGATCGATGCCCTCCACTCTCGGGTGCGGAGAATGAGGCAAAGAGACGATACGGTATTTGAAGGACGCGGTCCCAGTGTCTCAATCAGGCTCGAGGTTTGTCTTCCCTGTTTGACACAGTCTCCTAGTCCTCACCTGGATCCCTTAGTGGCCAGGCTACAGGCAATGGAGTCGCCAAATCCCAACCAAAGACTTCCGCAGTCCTCCAGGACCCATCACTCGCGCCAAACTCGCCAAAAATGTCGCCAAATGCGTTCAACGCTTCATCCAGGTCTGTTTCTGATCAGCTGCTCGCTCTTCGTTCTGAAACCTGGGGCAGGAGCGACAAACGCAACCTCTGGAAGACGATGCGGATCCTCGGTGGAGAGTGGGTACAGGTCACAGCCAAATCAAGCTGGAGGACTTGATTCTTGTCAGCATTCACCATGTATCAATGGGCAGCTGGCAACCACACTTGAGATTGATGCGCCCGCTCTGAGTCACTCCAGTATATACAATCCAGACATCTCGCTGTCCACCTGGCGTGGCGCTGTACTTTTACATTTGCATTGCTGTCCTCCACCTTTCCAATCGACACGTCTTAATTATGCTCGATGCTGTGCCTTGTGGACGAAGTGGGTGCGGTGCCCATAGCCGAGACCCCGTCAGCCTACCTAGGCGTCACCACTTCTTACCCATCTAAGCAGCCCAGCAGAATCAGCCACACCGGACACTTATTCCATGAAACGAAGCACGCACGGCATCCCGCATACACTTGCCAAACTTTGCAAACTCATCCTGGCACGCGTCCTTCGATACATCTGTGTAGACGGCAAGTATGCATTTTCCGTACGCCGAGGCTTGCGTCGCGCATGTCGTTGTGGAGTGAAGCGCGAAGCGGCCGAGCGGTCGAGACGAAGTTGATTTAGCTGTTGGTGTGTTCATCGTTCAGTCCACGAACAATTCTGGCCAGCCCGATCAGTCATCGTGTGATGTGTGATTGATAGGTGTGGATCGGGCCGGGCGATCCGGGTCTGCTTCGCTTCAAGTACTTGTAAGTAGGATGTCGCTTCAAATTCGTGGATTTCCACGGTACTTATTGCGCTAAAATTTGTCCTGATGAATCCGGAGCATCGAATATGATGGAATGAAAAGACCCCGCACCAGTAGTGCACCGTGTAAGGAATCCTGGAAGTATAAACCCTGAAGCTGAAGGATCCGGTTATCCTATGGGCACGGTATGAACAGCTTAAACCATCCATACCGTACCCTCATGCAATTTCAGTTGCTTGTAGGATGTCCATTCTTGGCGGTATATGAAGCTCGCATAGTCAGAGTCTGCTTCGCGCGCTTGGCCGGATACCATTTCGAGAACAACAGCCTGCTGCATCGGGAACAATGCGTTGCCGACCCCATTCATAAGAATTCGGGTATGCAACTAATGAACCCGCTCTGATTCCGCGCGTTTCCATATTCTACGAGGCATCATGCTGAGGGACGGGAGCATTGGCGTGGCTATCGTGGCGCACAAAGTGATGGTAGTTCAAGGTCCGTTCTCGTTGTCCTCGATATACTATATATGCTATGGGTGCGACTGACATCCGGCCGTGCAGCCGCCCGCTCGCATACCTGCCGGGAGCGTCTTCTGGACGTCTACACGTTTGTCCCGTTCGGAACCGACCGCGTCTTCCTCGCCACAGATGTCCCCAAAGCGCGCATCGCGACTGCAGACATCCTCACCGTGTTCCCACCTGCAGAGATCCTCCGCGCCTATTCGCCGGACCCAGGAGTTCTTGAGCTCCCTGAAGAAGCTGTGCTAGAGTTCCGACAGCTGAATGAACGTGCTCAAGAGCGTTACGAACGATTGTGGGAGTCGTGGGTCTGATTTACCTTGCCCTTTGCCGTATCTTTACCACAGCTAGTGTGGTTGTAACATTACCAACCCTTCGTTCTCTGAATAAATTTGTTGTGCTTGTGTACATTCTCCATGGAGCAACAAATAGTGGCATATATACGAGATACATAGAGGTGGTTAGCGGCACTGCATGTCAAGATGGGTGGATCAGGCTGCTTGGGTAGCGTTTGGGTCCCGGAAGACCTGTGGTAGGCTTAGCAAGATCCAGGTGAAATTGGCTTCCACGAACCTTCAGGTCCCAGAGATCTCCCACTTTGTTAGTCCCGGCATCTGGTACATTCCCTTCCGATCCCGTTTCAATCTTCAGACCTTGCTCATTGGCTAGATGCAAGAGACAAATGAAGCAGAAACTGGTGCTGATCTCCTCCATCTTGTCCTTGGGATACGAGCGTTGGAGACCGGAGATGACAGAGCTGAAAACCCGAGCCTCAGATGGATTTGTAGGCGGAGGCTCATCCACAACCATGCTCTCCGGGTCTTCTGTGCTTTTGGCGATGGTGATGTCCAGACCTTTCCAGATGTTGTCTTTCAACTTGCGGACGTCGACTCGCTTGGCTCGCTTGGCATAGTTGACAAACTGAGGTTTGGCGCGTCGAGTGGCGCCTTGCATTTCGGCTAGCAGATCGCTTTCCCCTGCATCGGCTTCGGGCGCTGCAGGCCCGTCCCCGTCTCCATCAAAGTCATCGAAGCCCGGACCATCATCATAATCGTCGTTAAAGAACTGCGTGGTAAACGGGGCTGGTGCTCCGCCTACCGGCATCGAGTTAGAACTATCACTATAAATCTGGAACGGAACGCACTGTCGTCATCGTCATTGGCCTGCCGACCCGCTGCCTGATCAGCAGCAGCTTGGGCCCAGAAATTCTCGTCCACTTCTTCACCATCAGCATTGTATCTCACCCTCCGACCTCGCATCTTGAGCTAGAGGGGGCTTATTAACTCGGCTGGAAATTAGGATGGCCCACATACCTGGAACTTGGGTTTCAGAAACAGCGAGGCCAACTGTCGGCTGCTAAAGTGGATGTCGTCAGGCAGAAGATGGTTGTCTTTCTTCTTTTCCTTTTCTTTGCCCTTCTTCTTGCCCTTGGTCCCAGCCAGATTAATACCTGCGTTCTTGCCACCACTAGCAAACAACTCCTCCGTGAGCTGCTTGAGGTCCTTATCCAGATGTTTGAAGAAATCGATCTTTGGTGGCTCTTTCCGCTCTTTGCGCGCCCTGGGCTGCTTGGCGGCAGTCTCTGCGGCATCCACTATTCGAAAGATTAGGGCGGCTCGGCCACAGATGCAGGATAATCACATCTGCGCATTGGCTTTCGCTTCTTCCAATGTTCCGGCCCAGCCCAATTCTTGGCGAGACTGTCATTAAAGTACTCCATGGCGCCATCTTCACCCTCGGCCAAGACGAAATCATTAGAAGGCCGCCTCGGGTCGAAGGGCATGACGCCCATGGGCCCTTCCGCCCTCTGCTCATCGGCAAGGCCCGATCCTTGCGATTGATGGTCGTTCCCGAAGTCATCCCCACCGAGGTGACCGTCAAGATCGTCGTGGACGGCGTCGTCTCCGGCAAAAAAGTCCACCGGTCCTCCGTTGTCGTCATCCATGGCGAATGCAGGAGAACCCCCGTCGTTTTCGTCGTCGTCATCGAAGTGGTGGGTGTCGTCCTGGAAAAATGTCGTCTCATTGCCCACATTGGACGCCGACTTGTCGAACGAAAAATCCGCCAGGGAATGAGCAATAGCTTTCGTCTCAAGAACCTGCAGATCCGGAAAGAACGACTCTGCCGCCGGACGTTAATCAAGCAACAGCAGAGGAGGCAAGAAAGCATACTGCGCATTTCAGTCAGGTCAATGAGATCCTCTGGCTCCTGCTCGTCGTCGACTTCATCGACGTCAACGGCAGCATCTCCCGAGTCGAAAATGACGCGCAAGTTGTTTTGCCTTCCGATGCCGAGACTAAGATGGTTCATGAGGAGACCTTGTGCGCCTCCTTCGTCAAAGTCAGCGCAAGTTTTCCTGAACAATGGGTCCACGCTGAACTCCAAGTCCAGCTTCTTGCTCCGGAGCTGACCAGGCTCCTTCGCAAGCGTTGCGGCCGGACGGTGAGATTTCTTCTTCTTCGTCGTAGTCTCTTCATCAGGGTTGTCCGAGCCGTTCCCGTCCTCGTCCTCATCATTACCGTCATTGGCAAGATTGCTCAAGAGCTTGCCCGTCTCGGTACCCACGCTATCCACTCTGCTCGTCCAGATCTTGACACACCCATCGAGAGTACAGGACGCGCGCTGAAAGTTGATAGACATTCCATCATCGTTCTTTAGCAGAGACATGTCGTGGAAGTAGTTGATGAGGTCGAAGTTCCACGAGTTTCCGGCGTTGATTTTCTGAGCGTCGTATATTAGCAAGTGCTTCCCGGTACGGGGAGACGTAGCCCACATTATCTGTCGCCATTTTCATCCATTCGTCAAAATTCGAGCTCAAGATTTCCAGCACGGGCGGCTCGACCACAGGCGCCGCCACTGAATTAAGGGGCTGCCTCTGTTTACGCGACGTATCTGCCGCGTCACGTTCCACCAGGGCATCGCCCGAGGGCCCTGCCTCCGCATTGTCAATAACGGTGATCTTTGTGCTCTTCCTCCTTCTCCGCTTTTCTGCTGTATCATCGTTCGCCTGCCGTTTCAAGCGCGGCGGAGAATCGGCAAAGCTGACATCGTGCACATCGCTGAGACGTTTCCTGAGCGCCTTGGTCTGTTTCGATGTGGCTTTCTCGGATTCAGGGTCTGAGTCGTCGGCGTAGAGTGGTTGAGACTGCCCGGCGCGAGGCATGGATGAGGGTGAGATCAACAAAAGATGATACACGTGATCTCCAGTCGCGAGACGTCACGGGTGAACGTCACATCATGAACACAGTCACGGACGCGTCCTAACTAAGTTTTGTGGTGGCGTTTCTCGTCTTGTACTGAAGAGTGCAATGGATTCAACGTCGCAAATCTAGCGTCTATCAAATATGTCGGACAGTCCATACAATTTCTTCTGAGGCTACGACCCAAGAGCGAGGTTGACGACGGAACCTGATGAGTGAGATACGCAGTGAACATTGAATATGCACTAGGCCCTCGAACAATATTGAAGCTTCGAGTTAGTGATCGGGCATGAGACCCCGCAAGGACTTTATTATAATTTGAGTAGTTCCGAATCCCTCTCGTCACACAATCGCAAAATCCATGGGCTGATCCATCCTCGTTTGATTAGTTCAGATCTTGACAAATATTTCGCGCCCTGGATACGTCCTAGACACTCCTACATACAGCCACTAAGCGAAACAAGCCATAATGAAAACATAAAATAGGCTCACCACAGTCTTGCAGTCGCAGTCGAAGGCTTGAGCCATATCCCATTCTGTGCTGGGGTAGAAGTAGGTGACTAGGTCTCCATCTTAGAAGTCATGTGAATGGGAATTGAGCCCAGCCTCACTAGTGTTACCAGACATGATATCTTTCAGAGCTCTGAGATGCCAACGAGTAGGATCCGTAGACGAGAGATCGAAAACAGCATTCGGGTCGCACGAATGATTGACTGTCGCACCAATCAGACAGGTGTCTTTGCATGGACTGAGCGGGCGAACCATATACCAAATTCGAATTGAGCTCAACATTATCCTCATCGCCAGGCCCACACTGAACGGTGCTATACGCCTTGGGTCCCGTGGATGCGTTGTTCAGACGCCCTAGAATCTCCCCGGCCGCAAATCGCTACTCGCCCTACTGTTTGAGATCGCGGCAGGAGGAGCATTTGACCACGGACCCTGTGGGCTTTGAGGCAGGATGCAAAGCTCCCTGGTCGAGACTCGACAAACAGACCAGGAACGTCCATGAAGAAATTTCCCAAATCTCAAACAAATTAGTGGCCATATTATCACGGTAGATCGTGATTAGATTATCAGGGATGGAGATGGCACACGTGACTCTAATCACGACTGCATAGCGTGACAGTCGTAACACCCACAATTTCCTTGTTCCCTTCCTCAAGACACCAATGGCCCCTACGAAAAAGTCCAAGGCAGCAAAGTCCTCCGAGTCCATCTCGTCCAAGTTGGCTCTGGTCGTGAAATCGGGAAAATACACGCTGGGCTACAAGTCGGCTCTGAAGCAGATGCGCAGTGGAAAAGGTGTGTGACCGCTCTGTTCTCTCTCGGGACTGGAGCGTGAGGCTGAGAAGGTCCCTTGAACTGACTCGATTTTGTCTCTGTGTTTAGCCAAACTCGTCCTGATCGCTGGCAATTGCCCCCCGCTGCGCAAATCTGAGCTTGAGTACTACGCCATGCTCTCAAAAACCAACGTGCACCACTTCGCTGGAACGAACGTCGCTTTGGGCACCGCTGCCGGAAAGCTGTTCCGTGTCGGGTACGTGAATACTGAATGTATTATATTTCCCCATTGTTTACTTACACCTTGTCCAGTGTCATGACCGTCTCTGACCAGGGTGATTCTGACCTGCTCAACTTCGCTGAGGGTATCGCGGCATAAGTACTGTATCAACTAGCACTGCCTCATTGTCCACTATGCACACATATGATATGCTGTCACGGAAAGCACGAGCGAACTGCTGTAATCCTTGCCTTCATTTGCTACTGCCTGCATTCATCATCCGCTCCAAGGTCAACAGCACCTCCTCCCTGGTTAAGGAGGCTGGAACAGCTACTGACTGCCTAGTTGTCGCATGGACGATGAGACGCGCCAATACCTCACCCTGCAAGACGCGATCAATGGGTGAATGAGATAAAAGCGATGCACAGACCATCTCGACAAGAATGGCAGCCACGATCAACCAGATGATGATCCAAGTAATGCGCTCCATCGCAAAGTTGTTGAGGTGGTCATGGATCGCGTCGAGCTGAAGCGAATCGTCAACGGAGAGTAAGACCCAAGACCAGTGTTCACTTACGAAGCTACTAGCGACGCCTAGCTTCTCGTTCAGCCCCTGGACTCGGCCCTTGATCTCCATGTATTCCCTGACAGCATCATACAACTCTTTCAAACTTGCCTCGCTCCAGAACAGCTCGGGCACATCCAACACATTACTGACCAAATTGATGTCTTGCCTCAATTTGAACAAACTGCCAGTCAACTTGAGTGCCTCGCGGCGTTTGAGCTGCAGAGCACCGGAAGTTGCCAGCTGTTGAGGAATAGACAAAGTCTGAGGAGACGAAAGAACCCGCTGCGCCGTGGTCTCATAGTGGGCTAGAAGCGTTGATTGAGCAAGTGCGTGCGCGATCGAGAGCTTCAGCAGATGAGAACGAGATTTCAGCGCTACAGGGAATACATGATTAGCCACATTCCATCAACCGAAAGACGACTGACTAAAGAAATCATTATAGATCCGCGGATAGGCGATGTGTCGATCATGCTAGAGGCGACATCAGACCAAAGCGCCTGTGAACGGCGAGGACGAACAGCAAAATGGCATTCCTCGATCTCCCAGTCATCTTCCGGAATTTTCTTCTTCATGATCCCGGCGACATCGAGATCCTCAAGAATACTCCGTTCTTGCGCCTCTTCGAAACCAAAGAAGACAACAACCTGGTTCACGTTAAATCGATGCACTTGTTTTGTTGGGCTGTGATAAGTTGCACTTACGCCATACGCAAAGAACACAGCCTCCGCAACTTCCTCATCTTGAAATGACGACGAGGGAAGCTGTTCGCTGCGAGGGATCTCGTCCGAGTATGGAGTCGGCAAACTTTCGCCTGCGGACATCTCGCCCACACTGATACTCGGGGCATGAATAGGCTCCACCTCGGTATCCGCGTCAGAAGCATGCACTTCGTGAGAAGCCGAGTAGTGGGGCCTCGAAAACACCGGGGAAGAGGAGCTGATGTATCCGTCGGGATGAGCCTCGGGCGAGTGCTGAGGTGGGAAATATGTCCCCTGGTATCCGTCCTCTTCTGCCTCCGACAGACGCGTCAGAATAGACCTCGCCATCCGAGATTTGTGCACCAGAGATGACCTGAGGCTGACGTTCGGCCCATATCCAGGTAACAAGGGCAAGTGGTACATCTGTGGAATGACAATCGTATCTTGAGAACTGGAGAGAGAAACGCACGACATAGAGCGCCTCGTCAAACACTCTCGGCGCGACGTTGTGCTCTCTTTTCAGGAAAGAACTCAATAGCTTCGTCTTGAATGATTCGCAGATGCAATACACGGTGATGCGTTTGTGCCCCGCGCGTTTCCTTTGCTCCTTCGTCATGCGCTCAGCTGAGCTCTTGTATTCACGTACCCCCGCGTCAGTTTCGTACCCAAACGCGGGGTCTTCATCCTCCGGCAGAGGCTTAGTCTGGGGTGCCGAGGGAAGGACGACTAGTTTCTGGGAAGTCTTTGATGTCCGCAGGGCCTTTTGCCCTACGCCCCCCGACACAGATGCACGGCGCGCCGATGCAGGAGATGTGGAGTTGAGGAGTCTCGTGCGACGTTTGGGTACGGCAGTGGCAGAAGGCAAAGACGTCAGTTCAGGACGCGACGACATGGTAAGAGGCAAGAAGGAAATAGCAGTCACGTTATGGTTTCTGATCTGCGTAGAAATTCTATGGTACAAATGAATACATGTTCAAGCAGCAACAGAGTGGGGGTATCTTTAATATATTCGTAAGGATAGGTGAGCGCATGATTCAATAGACATTCTGAAAACCTCCAACAGGTTGCTGATGAGTGAGAGCTGGCGAACCGAGCTGCATGGGGGCCATGTGTTGCCTCGGAGGAGATTGCATGGGCGACGGAGTGTGGTGGAGGTGGGGAGAAGGCGAAAGCTGCATGTGCGGCGGCGACATCGACATCGACATCCCATTGTGGGAACCGTTCGCAGATGGTGTTCGGACTGGGACGGGGTGGTGGTTGGGAGTGGGGGACAATGACCCGGGGAGGGTCATGCCCATCGCACCGTTTAAAGAGCTGCTGCCGTTCACAAGGTTCCCACTCATGACATTCCCGTTTCCATTCATGGACATGCTGTGCATGTTGCCCATGCCATTGCCCATGCCGTTCATAGCACCATTCAGAGCAGCACTCAGGGCAGAGTGATCCAGGCCATTAGCCGAATTCGGTCGCATCGGAGCGGACCAATTGAGCTGCCGATTGGGAGGAAGCTTGAGGTTGATGTTGGTTCCCGGATTGATGGCCATATTGAACGTGCCTGCGTGAACATTGTATCCCGGCACTGCGACCTGCGGCTGTCGGCTGATGTTGTTCTGTACAGTGTGTGGATCCATCCCGCTGTGGGTATTTGCGAATGCGGACTTGAGGTTCTGCATCTGTTGTATGCTCAGACTGGACGTCGAGCCAAGGTACGGAGAGCCGTTCGCCAGATATCCATTCATGGCACCGTTGGTCATGGTTCCATTCATCATTAGATAGTTGCTCGGGAGATGGGTGTTCTGCGACTTTGGCCGAGTGGGAACACCAGAACCATTCATCCCATTCATGTTATTTGTCGTCTCAGACGTATGTGGTTGCAGAATGTTCGCAGCTTCTGCAGGACTATGGGTAGGAATCAACCCGTCTGGAACGGATTCGACCTGGAGATGGGGCACGGTGATCGGGGCTCGAACAGGATTCGGCGTCGCCGGTTGAGGAGAGGTTTGTCCAGACTGACTCGGGGGCAAACTGGGTGGTCGCATCCCCCCGTTCGCTGAGATTCGGAGATGTTGGTGACTGCCCATCGATGCCATCTTCTTGACCTGATTCGCAATCGGGGTGCCGTTGACAAGGCCCTGCTGTGAGATCATTGGATACGAACGTAGCACCCCATGACTGGCTTGACGAGGGAAATGAGGGAGTCCCAGCTTAAAACCCGGTACGGTGACGATCTCACGACCCTCTGCTGAGTTGAAATGCAAGGTAGTATCTGTGTTGAGGCCTTGCTGGTCATTGTCTGTCAACAAACACCCGGAATGGCGCAGATATCTGCATAAGATAAGCATGTGCATCTCAACAATAGGCGAATACTGACTTGGCATCGAACTCATCGACCAGGACTCGATCTTGCTCATCTGAACCGTCTGGACAATCATCCGCGTCAAACCGCCATCGCTCCTCCAAGCGCCGGACCAGCTCTGGATCTTCTTCGTCGTTGTCGTGTGGTGACCGGAAAAGGGAGGACCGACTGCTCCGCAGAGTGGAAGGCGAATACGGAGCAGCGAGGCGTCGATCCACAAGCATACGACCACCTCGGCCACGGCGTAGCCGCACGGCACAGGGGCTAAGCGCGTGTCCAGTCCCAGCGCCAAACTTGAATGAGCGCGACGAAATGGGCACAGGAGGTGCTTGGAATGAGGACTAAAAATGGATCAGAAGAAGGGAGGGATCACGAATTTTTGAACATACGCTGACACCATCGTCCCAGCCATGATCTTTCTGGCGACTCAACTCGATCTCAATCCTGCTCTGAATCATCGCTGCTCTTGCATGTGGTCTGATCATGGGCTCGGGCCTCGGCGCAGGAATGGTTGATTCATGCGGAGTGCGCAGTTTGAGACCGGCCGCGCGTCTGGAGATGGATCAGGGTATGCACCGGCAACAGGACATGCCACTAACGACGTTTCTTGTCTCTTCGAAGGACGCTCCTTGTCATGCAGTAGTTCTTCATCGGCTTTCTCAACCAGAGTCGGAAACTTCCGCTTGACATCAGCCACAGCCATCCGCTTCTCCCATACGCTTTGTGAGTGTCGAGCACTTTCAGCTTTGAGCATCTCGCGAGCCAATACGGCCTGAGCCAAATCGAATGGATACGCAAATTCCCCTTGCAGGCGCAGAAACTTCTCCGAAGAACTAGTTTGTTGAGCCCTGGTCTTGCGAACCGCTTTGATTTCTCGCCGCCGAAAGCAGACATAAGATTCGTTAGGAAGATCGTTTTCGTCACCCTGACATTGATTGAGTACGAGAAACGGGGGGAAAGCAGTCACAAACATTGAGCATTGGCATGATTCGACGTCCTTCTCGTTCCAGTCTCCGTTCTTTCCAGTGAGGATAGACAGCGCGGGCCATCCGAACCAGATTGGAAGGAGAGGGGAGCCAGGAAGGGACGACGAAGGAATCGAATCTTGAGGCAGGAAGGGTGGAAGAAAAAGCGTCCTGGTATTCGGAGAATGCTGGGAATGGCATGCCGCCCAGACTCTGCGTTGAGGATGAGCAGATGCATCATCACGATAAGAGCAACTCACCAAATGGAGATGCTCTGTTTTCTCATGGGTAATTTGTTCAAATAGACCAACGACGAGTTCGAATTCGTCTTCAGTGAGGGCGACAGGCTGGCCCTGCTCAGGCTCCTTTCCTTTCGCCTTGGAGCTCCGAGCAGAGGCTCGCATCCCAGAAGTTGATGCAATGGCACCTTGTACGCTAGTCCCTTCGCCGCGAGCCTCTTCATTGTTCTTGTCCAGCCATTCCTTGTCGCGTTCATCCATGTAGTATGTACAGTCGTGAGCAAGGGAGTAGTCGGTTGTGTCTTCCACCGTTAACGACGAGGCCACGTATGAGACCGGGTCCTTCCAACGATCGGCAGGGTACAGGAGTTCATAACCGTCGACAACTCCAGTCGAATCGGGGGTGGGAATATATGCGATAGTTGCAGCTGAGGGCTTCTTTTCGTGTGCATTTCTGGTTGATCGCGGTGACGATGACGAATAAGTACGTTGTGCCTCAGAAAGGACGGCGAGGAGATGATGTTCCTGTGAAAAGTGATTGGTAAGCAGAACCGCGGGACACACTGCCACATCGATGGGGTGACGTGGCATGCGGTGATTGGCCAGAGAGCGGCTCACATTCGCATCCTCCTGGTCAACACCTGCAACCGCCAAGTTCGACCGGTTCTTCTCATCGTCCTCATCTGGTATAACAGGATCCGTGTCGATGTTTCCATGAATGATTTTCAGGCGATATTTGTTGGTGATTCGATTGCGATTGCGCAGCGTGGTGGGTGGGTGGACTAGTCTGGGCATCGCATCCCTCGGCAGTCGGCTTCACGGCGACGTGTAAAGAGCAATAAAGAGGATGGCGATTGGTGGGGCAGACGTCGACTTTGTGCAGCACAACTTGCGGGGGAACAGCGAGATTTGCCGAATGCGGCCCGAAACGAACCCTCTGGACTAAGATCACAGCCACACAAATAACTACATACTAGAGATGGGATGATATCTGTGGCAAGTCAATAATCGCGAACAAGAACGTTCAGAGAGCGGCTCACGACATGTGTAGTACAGTGAACGGCAGTGAAAGATATTCAATCCCAATCAGCACCTTCGCCATGTGCCCCAATCACAACGACGCTGAAGATCGCCAAAGCCTAAAACCAGGCAAGACTAAATCCGAACAAAGGCTCCCCGTAGTCGGAGATAATAGGGCAAAGCGGATGAGAAAGGGAACGCTCGAGGATGTTGCAAAATTTGGAAGATCTTCAAACGACATATCGAGTGAAGCCACTTGCATGGCACTCTCCGATGATCCATTCGCATTAGCACCAACAGCACCATGAAAAGGGCCCGTTGTAAATATACGGATCCTGGAATGCGCGATGAATTGAAGCCGTGTGATGATATAGGGCAGACACCTACGTCGTCGGACTTTATGGCTGTAGCTGCTGCAGTGGACGATGTCCATAGGCACGATCTACAGCAGCAGCGATGTGTGATGGAAGAGTCGATATATCGACCCTCGCGACCTTAACCCTTTGACACGCGGACCGTAACGGGCCACGTCCACGCTGAGGACGCTGATCCAGAAAAAGCAGCTGGATTGGAGAATGATGCCTGAGTACCTGGATGAGGGACTGGAATTGTCATTGAGATTTCCGTTTCCAAAAGAGAGAATAAAGAAGTGGATGCAAAAAACACGCACCCTGGCTGTGGGGACATGACTAGTCGGATTGCAGGGCCATTATGAGTACCACCAAAATATGAGTGTATCCCAGAGGCATGCGGATGAGATGCTAGGGCCCTTAGAGGAGTGCCAGAAATGGAGACGTCCACGCAAGTGCCGGTGGTGAAGGTGGGAGGAGAAGGGCTTGCTACACGTGATGAGCATCATAGGGTAGGAACAAGAGCCGATTCGGATCGGTAACGCCTCGGCAAAGAGCACACGGGCTTTGGCGGTTCCGCTCTCAGGCTTCTCAGAGAAGAAGGTAAAAAACCGATACAAAGAGTGTACAGTTTATCCAGGCTACAACATTGGCTAGAATAGTGTAGGAGCTAATTCGATTACGGACCGAGGGCCCCTGCTTGAATAGTCAGCTTTCGACACGAAGTTTTTCGATTGAGGTTCATTGATGAAGGTTATCTGCGTGCTTTCTATCAGAGAAGACACGAGACGCGTGGATGGCGCCGGCGAACCTTGGCAACGATACTGGCGCCCAAGAACGCGGCGAAATTGTTCCCGGTGTCCCGATATTCAGGAAAATATTCGGGTAAGCTCAGGATCTTGGCTGAACGCGCCTGAACGTCCGTTTGCAAGTCGGGATTCGCGATGTACGGGGAAACCCGAGACTGGAGAGCAACTCCGATCCCTTGGGAATGTCAAGAGGCGCACCGTGATGAGAAAGAAGGCGCACCTTTCACATGACGGGTCAATTCACCCGTAACAAAGATCCCATTCCAAATGTAAGGACGGTGATCGACGTCAGCCTGAGAGATGGAATGACCAACAGCGTCTTGCAAAGCCCATTGCAATTGAGCCTTCCCCCGAGTTGGGTCGACATTGCTCGCCACGATCCGCATCAAAGAAGGATCAAATAACGGCTCACACATTCGATGTCGCTCCTTGCCCAATGTCAATGATTTGCCTTGGAATTCGACCGTGATGAGATCCATGGCTTCCATCTCGCGTGCTCTCTGCTGCTCTGCGGCTGACGCCTTGGCCGTTGCTCGCTTTTTCATTCCACTCTCGATCAAGGCACGCTCCTTCCCGGCCACAATAACAGCTGCGATGTCGGTCACGCCTTCATCTTCTCCACCAGCAGTTTCGCCATCCGAAGGCACTTTGACATAGCCCTCTTTCCAAATGAAGTCCACAAGCTCGAGCAGTTTCTTGTTAAGTTCCACAGGGTCCAGGGGCGCGTCCGCAGGAGATAGGACGGACATCACAGACGAGTTCGACCGCAGAAGGAAGGCGAGGTAATCAAGACAGTCCCGCGTTCCCACTTTGGTAGATGTGCGAGCCTGCTGCACAACGAAGCCTTCGTAGATGGGTGTTATGTCGGTAACATGATATCCAATATCGACGACAATACCGCTGAGAGTATTGGCAGCGTATATTTGCCCGATGGGTCGATCCAGGATGCCAAATCCTGCAACATTGAAACGCTCGAAGAATATCTGACCGATTCGCTCACACGAATCTCGTGTGGTCATCCCAGCGGGTAGTGAGAGCAGCACGGGAGATTCATTCTGGACCCTGCGGCGTTGAAGCTGGTTGAAGAGGACATACTTCCTACATATGCATGCGTGAGAAATCGGGACCAGAGTGAGCCATCTAACGAACCAGATGGCTTCGGCTTGGGTCCAGTCCTTGACTTCTCCGTCCGCAAATGGCCAGAATATGTTCATATCAGGGTCAGATGCTAGAGCCTCGTCGAGTTGAGTCCCCAAAATGTAGTCCTTTACAGCATAAGCGCGTTGTTCATTCGCGTCTGTGCTACTCGACGACGCGTCACGAGGTAAACCGACGCGTGCCTTCAATTCCTGACACACTAGGTGAGATGTCTACGTGGGAGAGACCTGCATTTAGGGAGCTCACAACCGACGGCGTTTTGAGCAGTTCATGAAGACCCAACCCAGCCCTAATCTCTGTGCGGCCCACTTCGATGATAATGACAGTCGAGTCGCGGAATGGTGTCATGTATGCTGACGCCGATGAGACTGTCCCCACCAGCTACTTCAAAACGGTTCAGTTCTCAGGTGTAAATTAGACTGGAGTTCCAGATGCCTCTGAATGCCTGGACGAGATTCGACTGAAAATACTACGAAGAGTAGAAGTGAGCTCGCTAGAGTGTTGTGGTTGGATCTCTGATGCAGAAAGCTGTGTAAACTTGTTTGCTTAAACCAAACGTCGCGTCAAGATCTAGTGCGCGTCGCGCGTTATGATGTGGTACGACTGATTTCCTCCCAATGACTTCCTATTCTCCACTTTCAATCGAGAATTCAGCCAGCAAACCGTTCACAGACTACTCTCGTTGGAGGCTTCTGGTCAGCGACAGCGGCAGGCATACCTGGCACTACCTCAGGAGCGAAGAAGAATGCCAGAGGTGGCCGCAAACTTCGGTGGACAAGTTCTGGTTGGGTATCGACCTGGTACGAAGATGATATGGCTCTGGCCGGTGGGGCTCTCGTAACTGTCATCATAGAAACTCCCGACTTTACCTCCAGCCAAAGATGCCTATGAAGCCGCAAAGAATGGGTACACGTTCTATAAGAATCTCCAGTCCCACGACGGCCACTGGGCTGGGGAGTATGGAGGACCGATGTTTCTGCTCCCCGGCCTTGTCATCGGCTCGTACATCTCGGGGATGGGGTTCACATTGGAAGAGCGACTTGAGATGATACGATATCTCATGAACCGGGCCCACCCCGTTGACGGTGGATGGGGAATGTTTGTTACTCGCTTTAATTTGTCAAATAGACTCTTACAGCTGCTCTAGCCATGTCGAAGGAGAATCGACCGTGTTCGGGACTGGGCTTAACTATACTGCACTCAGAATCTTGGGTGTAGATGCCGAGCACCCTGTCTGTGTCAAGGCCAGGGCAAAACTTCATCAGCTTGGTGTGCAAGATATCTATTCTCTTATTTGCTGATACTAATAAGACCGACCCAGGCGGTTGCACTGCCATCCCATCTTGGGGGAAATTCTGGCTGTCCTTACTCAATGTTTATGATTGGGAAGGTCCGTTGCATGGGATGGCTTCCCTTGATCCATTTTCTAACGTGACGTAGGGAATAATCCGGTCCCGCCTGAGCTCTGGTATGCAATTGGTGGGGCGGGAGATCGACCGATACTGATATTTTCAGGCTATTGCCCGACTGGGTTCCGTTCCATCCTCACCGATGGTGGATTCACACGCGAACAGTTTACATTCCAATGAGCTACCTCTACGGTGTTAGATTCAAGATGCCTGAGAATCATTTGACTCTTGCCCTGCGAGAGGTTGGTACTCTTCTTTTGTTGGACCTTCAATCGATGATGCGAGCACAGGAACTGTATGCCGAAAACTATTATCAGATATACTGGCCGGCACAACGGAATAATGTGGCGAAAGTGGATTTGTATGCCCCGCACAGCCTGGTTTTTGACTCGCTCAACGCCATGTTGAGTGGGTACGAAGCATGCCAAATTCCGCCAATTCGTCGAGCCGCGATTGATCGTGCTTACCAACTTATCGTGCAAGAGGACGAAAATACTGGTTACCAAACTCTTGGCCCTGTTTCCAAGATGTTCAATCTTGTAGCCCGCGTGCACCGCGAGGGACAAGAGAGTTCTGCTTTTCGAAAACACAAAGAGAAGCGCTACGATTTCATGTGGCTAGGCGCAGAAGGCATGATGATGTGTGGGACCAACGGCAGCCAGCTCTGGGATATTGGATTCATTACCCAGGCTTTGGTCGAAACAGGACTCGCCGAGCTACCTGAGAATCGGGATAGCCTCCTCAAAGCTCTCGAGTGGCTGGACGATGCACAGATTCTCGATCATCCCAAGCACTATTCAACTTCGTATCGCCATGGAACTAAAGGCGCGTGGGGCTTCAGGTAGGATTTCTTGGCGCTCTCTCGAAGAGCATCAGCATCAATGATCTACAGTACGAAAGAACAAGGATATGTCGTCAGCGACTGCACTGGAGAAGGATTGAAAGCTGTGTTATACCTACAGAAACACCTCTCCTTCACCCCGAAACTCGTCTCGGACCGACGTCTGTTTGACGCCGTCGATCTGATGCTCACTCTGCAAAATTCCGATGGCGGTTTTGCCAGTTACGAGCCCATTCGTGGTCCGTGGTGGCTCGAATTGCTAAATCCGGCAGAGGTCTTTGGCAACATAATGATCGAATACAACTACCCAGAGTGCACGACTTCCGTCATCACTGCTCTCTCCATCTTCCGCAAACATTACTCAGACTACCGGGCCAAGGACATTGCGTGGGTCACGACTTGTGGATCATCGCTGTGATTGAACTTCGTGCAGAAAGACGATCAAGGGGGCTATTTCGTATCTGCACGCAGCGCAAAAGAGTGATGGTGGATGGATTGGATCCTGGGGCATCTGCTTCACCTATGCGTCACAGTTTGCCCTCGAGTCATTGGCGCTGGCAGGAGAGACCTACGCGACCAGCTCAGCCAGTAAACGCGCGTGCGAGTTCCTGATCAGCAAACAGCGCAAAGACGGAGGATGGGGCGAGAGTTACAAGGCTCGTCGTGACTGTGATGTAATGGTATCTTCTTACATTCGAGCAGGGTTGCGAGTTGGGGGAATGGGTCGAGCACGCCGAGACTCAGGTCGTGCAGACCTGCTGGGCTGTCATGGCCCTGATGTATGCAGAATATCCTCACGCTGAACCCCTGCAAAAAGGTGTTGCTCTGGTGATGTCCCGGCAACTTCCTGTGAGCATTTACGACGCATCTCGTCCTATGGCTAAATTTCTATCAGGATGGGTCCTGGCCTCAAGAAGCAATCGAGGGGATCTTCAATAAGACCTGCGCCATTGCTTATCCCAACTTCAAGTTTTCATTTCCTATCTGGATGCTGGGTAAAGCACACAAGTACTTGCAGGAACTGAAAGCCCGTCCGCAATTATGAGCTAATGTAGTCTGTGCTCCTTAATTCACTATTTTCCTAGTCTTGCTTCTGCAGCTCGAGCTCGCCTTTCCCTCTCCACTTTTGCACGCATCTCCGGTGTCAAACCTGCGATGCCTTGGGCAGAGCCAGATGCCCCACCCAACTTGCGGGGGCCAGTCGTTTCCGCTATAAGCTGTGGTGGCGACTCCAGTTGTAGTTCAGGCACCGCTGCTTTCGGAAGCTTTGTTTCCCGTTCCTTGACTTTATCTTTCAGGCCCTTGCGCCGAACTTTTTTCTTCTCATCTCGCTCCTCCTCCATTTCTTTGCTCAGTGCACTGGGAACATGTCCGATCCCGAACCAATCCCACCAATCAGGATGTGCCCCCGCGCACCTGCGGAACATGTCCCGGACTGAGCGAGCTGAGGCCAGATCATAAGCCGTTCGTCGTGATCCGTCGTCGCTGCTGGATGCAATGGTTGGGTCTGCACGCAGAGTTTCAAGCAGCCACTCGGTGACCTGCTCCTGGCCTGACTGCGCTGCCAACTGCAACAGGGTGGACACACGTTCTCCACTCCACTCAGGAATGGCCGTATCAACACCACCTAGAGACGCCCCCTCTCGGTCCCAAAAGGATTTGAGTGAGTCTAGACGGCCCTTGGACACCATTTCCAGAACTCGCGTCCACCGTTCACGTAAAGCCTCCTCCTCTTGGCTCAGTTTGACGGGCTTTGGTTTCTCGACAATCGGAGTGGCCATTGGTTTTGGTTTCGGCTTTGGCTTCGGAAGCGAGGCGAGGTACGCTTCATCCTGAGCTCGGAGGGCTTCTTCAGTGAAATGCGACGTTTTGGGACGGGTGAGTTCCGCCAGGCAACGAGCCAGTTCCGATTGCGTCTACATAATTCAGATACGAAACGGAAATAGGGTCGAGTCTACTCACTGGCCGCCTTGTCGGAAAAGGAAATGTACGCAAACGATCGTCCCCTTTCTCGATCACACACCCATCGTAGTCGAGGAATATCTTGCGATTTGAGCCGCTTGCACGGATCCAGATCCGTTCACAGGCGTTGATCTCTTCAGCCCATTCGTTGATGAGGTTCCGGATGTCCTGGACGTTGTCAATCGGATATACAAGCTGCAGGCTTGCTCACACACATCACGCAAAGCTTGTTCTCCGTACCGCCGAAGCATAGCACCAGCACTCTTCGCATTGCCTTTCGCGTTGTCGTTCAGTCCTTGCGATCCTCCCTGCTTCCTTCGTGCTGAGATGCAATTGAGGATAACACGACAACACAGACATAGATAGACTGACTGGTGTAGCGGTGGAATGTTTTGTGCCTCAAGACTTCCGTGTCCGGTTTGGGTTTGTTCTGCTTCTTCTTGTTCTTCTCTCCGTACTCCGACCCTGTGTCCTCGACCCCACGGCTCACACGAACAACGGCTCCGGCAAAGTGACCACCAGCAACCATAAACATCGCCCATGTCCGTTCTCCCGCTTGCATGTCCTTCAGAGCCGAGACGTATGATGTTTGGGATATTCCGGTGTAAAACAAGGCTTTGTAAATCCCGATCTGAGTGGCCGGTGGGGAGTGAAACCAAACAAGCGCGGTCTGCGGAGCGTTTCGTCGTTCTAGGCTCGGAGATCGCGAGCGTGAGGTCCGTGTTGTCTTCTTGACTAAGGCGTCGACAGCATCATCTGAGTCGTCGCCGTCGCTCTCCTCGGATGCGGAACCCGATATCGAGTCCTCGAGACCTTTGGACAGATGAGAATATGGAGATCATTGAAGCAAGTGATCAATACCATCGACTAATGTCAAAAATTCCTGCTCCGACACCGCAGGCCCTCCCTTCAACCTGCTCTTGACGTTGTACCTGTGCCAATCTGACCGGTAATGCGCTCGTTGCTCCTCAACATCGAGAAAAGATGCGCCGTTGCAGATGTTGCATGCCCTCGAGCTGCCGTTTGCCGAGGTAGAAGCAGCGGGTGCAGGCACGGGAGAGGTTGATCTAGATGGAATCTCGCCAAAGAGATCTCGTGGAGAAAGAGTATCGAGAAGCTCGATTGGGAGGGAGTATACGTGAAGTGCCATGTCAAGTGGAAGGATAAGATTTTGAGAGCTGCAATGCTCAGCACCGTCTATAAAAGCACAATCGGCGGGTCCGCAAGTGCTGGTCAAGCTAGTCAAGAATCGTTACGCGCGCATGTGATCGAGGATGACTCAATATTGATCATCATTGATCTAGGTCTTTCCGTAACCACCACCATTGTGGGGGGCCTGTGCTCACATAATCCGAGTGCCTTGTCTCGATGCGCGACACCATCTCCCATCACACGGAGCCTCTTTACGCGCTTCCGCGACACTACTTCCCTCCAGTCGGCCCTTCGCAGCGCAACAAACGACGCCTTAATCCCAATCATCATGTCTACCGGCCCGCGCTGAACATCTCCGGCCTCGTTGACGCGCTGCAAGTCCCGATATCAAATGCTCTCGAATCGCGAACCAGTCCGCGTAAGGGAAAGGGGACAAAACGCGTCGCGTCGCCGGCACCCAGCGGCACCGGTCGTACGAAGCGCATGAAGCGCGAGTCTCCGGAAGCCAAATCCGGTCACGATGAGAAGAAATTAACGGAATTCACTTGGGCCGAGATGCAATACCCGAAACTCAAGGCTCTTGTTCCGGACTCTGCGCGTGATGCAGGCGTGGAGATCCCCATAATGGCCCACACCTTCGAGATGACCTATTCCAATGAGATTCCATCTGGTTCAATATTAGGGCTGTATGCTGGAGGGGACGAATACGAGGAATGGCCTTCAGATGAGAAAAACTTGGTCGATGCCCTACAAGTGTTGGCCTCCGTCATGGACCACGACGAGCAAGAAATCGATCTGGGAAACGCGCTGTTATGCTCGCACTCTTCACGCGTGGTCGCCGTGTCTCAAGTTCTTGCGAAACGAGAAGGATCGATTGACTGGTTCTTGCTTCTTCCCCGTGCAGCTGACGGACTCGACTTGGAGCTCCTCGGCTTACCTGATGACGGACTGGCCGAGACGCATGACGTCTTATTGCAATGCGTGAAACTGATGCAGGAGAAACGAGTTACCATCGATGCGAAGTTGAGACTGAGGATGCGGGCTGCTGAAGACACCATTCTACCCTTTAGCCTGAGCTTGCATGTGACGGTGTCGTTGACTCCCAGAGCGTTTGGAACAGATGGGAGCAAGAGCACGGTGGAAACGATGCAGCGACAGCTGATTCAGCATGTGTATCCGGATCCGCTCGTCCATACTGGCAACGAGGATCCGACCGTGCCGTTCTTCTATTCTGTGGTTGGACCCGCACCTCCAGTCGCTACGAGGGAAGCAGAGAACGCGTTGCAACCTGCCGGGCTTGTCGCTACGCTTCTGCCTTTCCAGCGTCGCAGCGTCGCTTGGCTTCTTGCTCGCGAAGGCAAGATGGTGACGGACGATGGAGAGATCATCAACAAACCTTCAGCAACGCAGCCCGGCTTCTCTTTTTGGTCCAGGATTCAGGAAGGATCTTACGTGTTCTACGTCCATCGGATTACCGGGCAGCTTTCCTTGACTGCACCGGAAGAAGAAGAGGGCTTGGGCGGAATGCTCGCTGAGGAGCCAGGTCTGGGGAAAACATTGGAGATAATCTCGCTGCTGCTCCTCAATCCTGCAGGCCCAGAGCGCCATCCAGGAAACAAGCGTTGGGATGCTGAAGCAAGCATCGAAGTCAAAACTGTCAAGGTTATTCTGGTTCATATCCATGTCGTGATGTCGATGTTGAAGGATCACAGACGACTCTCATTGTCACCCCACCGACGCTAGCGCCCCAGTGGATGGATGAGCTGCGGACCCATGCTCCGAGCCTGAAGGTTCTCCTCTACGAGGGGTGGAACAAGGTCGACGTCCCTCTCACGAGAGCGGAGCTCGACAAGGCCCGTGCCAAGAGTCAGATCTCCAAACAACGCAAGGGAAAGGGCAGAGCTCGCGATTGGGATGAGGATGCAGATGCGATGGACGTCGATACTGAGGTTTTGGATTGGGCTTCCTTCGTGCAGGGCTACGATGTGGTCCGTCCGACTTATGTACTCGATTGGCTGCGCGCCCTGATCGATTACGCAGGTCGTCACGACCTACGCCACTCTCAGCAGGGATGTCAATGTGGCGCGTGCAGCCAGGCAGCGACCTAGGAGGGAAGACGTTGTCTACGCTGCAACCATTGAGCGGGCGCGTTCACCTCTGATCATGACAGAATGGCTCCGGGTCGTGATGGACGAAGTGCAGATGGTCGGTGGTGGTCAAGTGGAGTTCGTATGTCTCTTGAGTCTCCTTTGTATTCTTACTTCGCGGTGCAGAGACATGGTGTCGATGATTCCTCGGGTTTCTTCTTTCGCTGTATCAGGCACACCCGCCCGAACACAAGTTGCTGACCTCATCCATGTCCTCAGGTACTAAAGCTACTTCCTACCGGCTTCGCAGCTGACATCGTCAGATTCCTCCGCGTCGATCATCTGTTGGGCTACTCAGCACGTCACTGGCAAAGGCTTGTTTGCGCCGGATACTCGGAATACTTTCGACGGTTCTTCCAGGGTATTGCCGTTCGTACGACCAAAGCCAGTATCAAGACGGAGCTCACGATACCACAACAAACGCGCTATCTTGTCGGTATTGAGATGGGGAGGGTTGAACGTCACGTGTGTATCTCGGACGATACATCTTTATCCCAACTGACGCTGCCTGCCAGGTTTACGATCGCAATCTCGAGAGCATTCTGCTTGAGCTGGGCCTCGACGCTCGGGGTGTAGATGTTCGCGGTGAACAACGAACACCAGATCCTGTGATCCTGCGCTCCCTTCTGCGTAAATTGCGAGCGATCTGCACGCACCCGCAGATCGGACAACTGGGTGTCAATAAGATTTTCAAGCCGGTGCTTTGAAAAGTATGGAGGAGGTGCTCCAGGGCATGTGCGATGACAACTGGGTTTAGTCATCGAGGACTGGAGGTCCCAGGTCGGATTGCTGCTTTCGCACATGTCCCCGACTCACACGTGGACGTCCAGATCCAAAATCTCGTTCGGACTGCCCAGCTCCGACAGCATGGAATCGAACACAATCGCTACCAGCTGGCCCAGCAGACTTTGTCACTCGCCGAGACGGAGACCAGATGATGCTCGATGAAATCCGGGGTGTCCTCGCTGCGCACGAAACAACCAGCCCTGCCCAGCGATCTGCCAGCCCTTCTGCGCTATCAGAGGCCGAATCGGAGGAAGAAGACGATTCGAAAATAGACATCAAGACTAAGGCCTACCGCAGCAAGCGGAATGCGTTGAAACAGCGGCTCAGGGAAGCTCAGCTCGTCCACCATCGCGTCAAGTTTCTTCAGGGAGATGTCTGCCACATGCTCGGTCCCTCCCACCTCGACGCGGAAAATGCCGCTATGAAGAGGCCGAGTTGATACGACGCTCGATCTTGAATAGTGAGCAGATGCCCACTCGTTCGTTTCGGGCGCTGCTCATCCGATGCAGAAACCGAGAAGGATGCCCGAGAATCTATGAAGCTTCTTGAAGATAGTGAGTCAGGTGACGATCTCAAGATCAAGACTCCCTTCTTGCGCGACACAAGTTGGTCAAGGAAGAAAGTGCAGCTCTTGTGCGTTCACGCTCCGGGATAGACGAATTGGCTAATCATTGCTGCAGCAACAAGAGGCCAACCAGATGATTAGAAATGTGCTCAATAAGCAGGCGGAGCTCGTTCAGAGTGGAGGGGACAACTGACTGGTCTGTTGATGACGGGTTTGACTCCCGACGAGCAAGCAGACGGCCAGGAGTACCAGCGCACGCTTGATGACCAGGGAGAAGCTGAGATCTACCTGACCAACTATACGGCGCTGCTGGCCGACTATCGCGAAGTGCTGCTCAAGGAAAACGGCATTGGCGGCCCACAATGCGGTATTTGATGTTCTCCGACCGCCATCCGTTTTCGTTCTAACGTCTTGCAGAAAGAGAAAAAGCTGCGCGAAACCAAAGCCGCAATGAAGGCTACAGCTAGAGATGAGAACGAGAAGACGCCAGAAGTTGCTACTGGGATTGAACTGCAGCCGGAGCACGAGGTTCTGCACACAGAACTGGCCTCTCAGCGTAAGCGCCGATATCGGCTCTCAGGGTCGGCCATCAGAGTGTACACATGATTTCCTGTCCTTGCGCAAGGTCTTACTCATTTGTGCAGATTGTCGTCGAGATGTCTACCGATGGCTACAAGACTGAAGCGGGA